GCGGCGTATGACTCTGGCCTTGCAGACCGTCACACCTGAAGCCACCATCGGTCGCCTCGTCCACGCCTAGGAGCTTCTAGAAGCGCAGGTTATTGTGTACGAATTCGCCACACCCTTTGCATTGGTGTTTGCCACCCAGGAAGAAATTGTGATTGCTACAAGCTGTTCGACATGTTGCATGGAGTGCCAGCATCAGCTCCCGCCCCAGCAGCGCCACCGGCCCTCGAGAGAAGGCCCGTGGTGCTAGTAGTTTTTGTGAGCTCACCTGTCATCAATCAAACGACACCGGGCGAGGCGGGCCAAGGGCACGCTTTGATTTTTTGCACGGAGTCTCCCAAAGTCGCCGCAAAACGAGAGCACTGACAAACGAAGCATCAGTATTGTAGTACCCAGAGCTCTCCTTGGCGGTGATATTCTCAATTATGTTATAGCACTTTAGTAGAGCATGTGCAGGGTGCGTCAGAGTGTTCTGCGGCGCTAGTCCGGCGTTGTCGTCGCTCGCGTAAGTGATGGCGCTGTCTCTGCAGCTGTCGACCAAGCTTCTCCATTTTTTTAACAACTCTCGTCAACTCTTCTTGGCTTTTGAATGCTCAGAACAGCGTATTCCCAGGCGATTTTCAGAAATTGCGGCGCTATTGCGAGAATCCTTTTGGAGTAGGATGGAACAAAGGCTCACTCAACACGTTCTTCTTGACGTACCCGCATTCTCCGATCCCGCCCATTGAAAGACATACGAAAAATCTAAGCACGGAAAACACAACTGCGGCCCGCCTACTCTGGTACTGGTACCCGCACTGCTGTTGTCGAGAGAAATCACGCATGTACGAGCTCTGTCACTTTTTGCGATCGTTGTTGTAGTGTTTCGATGCACTGAGAGCGCCACTATTGAACCAGCCGCCGTGCAAATCGCGATATTTTTCGCCGACGAAAAGAGCGCGTACATATTTAGTGGATGGTTCTGCTTACCGAAAGTACCTCGTATTCCCGTGGTCCCCGATGAACCGTCTATTGACAGGCAATGTCGTGACTAAGCTTTCCTATCTTTGTCCCTGTCGTCTCTGTCACTGATCAACTGCTCAATAGCTGCAAGAGCAAGTCCAGGCTAAAGCCCTGCAGGAGCTCATGACGCAGATGACCGACCAGTGCTTCAACCGATGCGCCAAGACTTCGAGTGGGGACCGCATCAACTCGTCAGAGCAAGGCTGCTTGGCCATGTGCATGGACAGGTGTATGTGTGTGTTTTTTTTTATTATTAGCATCGACCGCGCTAACCGGCTGACCAATGAAAAGACGTCAGTCATGTCAGTCATGTGTGTGTGTGTGTGTGTGTGTGTTATTTCACAAGATCGTGTGACGGTAGGCGCTCGTCAGTTGTACTGCATTTGCGATCTGCTTGGTTCTCGGTCTAGAATATCAGCTGTATTTCCAGGGTGGGTGTAGCTGGTAGCCCGGGGCGACCTTGTTTGAGATCTGACGGTTCCCGGACATGGCGCCATCCACAAGCGAATCCATCCCCATGTACCTCCCTACCCACCCCCGTCTTTTTCTTATTCGCCAGGTATATGGATACGATGGGCTTGGTAAACAAGGCAATGGTCGCAAAGGCGAACAGGTGACCTGGACCGACCGTGGATGATGCATGGTCAATGATGGGCAACGGCAGAAGAGGACAGATACAGTGCCACAGCGCCGAATAAGGCATGGCTGCATCAACTCGCCTGCTTATTGCGGGCAAGAGGTCCGGAACAGCAGTTACTACTGCTGTGCAACTGCTGTGGAGGGCTTTTCCTTTTGGCAAGACTCGCCTACGGGTTGGTTCTTGAGTAGACAACGACCCATCCATTGGTGGGGGCGTTGGCACGTCGAGTCAATTTTTTCATGTACAACCGGTGATCTCAGCTAGAACATTATCCACGAAGGGTTGTTGCGTATGGTTAGGGTGGGTGCAATGGATATGTCGAGAGTCAACTTTAAGCTGGAAGAATCTGTCGAAGGGATGCGTGCGGCTCGTCCGATGCACCTAGTTGATTTTCGATGTTTTCACGAAAGATGCTTGGTGAGTTGCATGCTTGCAAGGGCAGTGATGATGCGCCTGTGCCGATTCGTTGTAGTGCCTAGACACCAAGTGGAAGGTTCGAGCAGCCCATGCAGAAATGATTGAGATGTTGTTGCCAGCGACTGATGACGTGAAATGTCCGTTGTAGATGGGCTCCTCGTTTTTGCCAATGGCAGATCCTCTGAGACTATTGGACTCTGTAGATTTCACTTTGTCCCTGTGAGAACCTACAGACTACCACCACACACGAGCAAATGAGTACATATGATATGTCGTTGTGCCACCCGTTCGTGCATTGTAGGAGTCCGAGACACACAATCTTCATATTCGGGGAAATCCTGTGATGAGGTCAAGGTCTCTTGCTACTGAAGTCTAGACATTTAACCAAGAGGCTGGTCGGAAACGACAGCGATACTTTCGCCTATAGAGACATGGTGAACGCGCTAGCTTCTTTCAGATCGGCCGATCAGTAAGTACGGGGCTTAGGACGACCAGGTCCTCATGTGGGTCCAGAAACACGCTCCGACCTCCCGCGTATCGAAGATGTCACCGGGATTGTCGTTTTGCGAATCGAACGGCGAGCTGGGCGTGACTGCCCTCGATCAAGCACAAGTACAAAAGGAGAGGCTCGGCAACAGCGCACTGAACGTGGACGGATGGTTTCGCTGTTGTCCGCCGCCTAAAAAGCGGGCTGCTTTGTGCAAACTTGGTGGCCGCACATTCTGGGACACTGCATGCCATCTTTGCTCCCACGAAGACATCCGTATAAGCCGGCTCCTCCTTGGTGCTACTTTGGTACAGTATGCACACGCTTCTTCCCTTGCGGAGATGTTTTACGACCCAGCTCATGATGCACGCAGTTATGCAGTGCAGGTAGCATCACGTACTTGCCGTAGCACCCCCAACACCAGGAAGTTCAGGCTGGAGGGGGATAGAAGAATACCTCCCCGGTTTTCATCGATACTGTAGCGTTTTGGTTCTCACCTTTCGGGAACTCGGCCTGCGGCAGAGCGGCAGAGCCGACAAAGAGACAACCAGAGGCAAGGAGTAGCAGAGAGCCGAGAGGTGCTTGGTGTGTGCATGATCCATGGCCAGAAAGGAATCAAGTGGGGACGACCGTGATGGGGCAGATACGGCGGCCATGGTGAGTTCGCTATGGTGTGTTGGCAGCTCTCAATCTTGCTCGGATAGTCGTCGTGTACTCCGGAGTACAGATTTTCGATTTTCGTGCGTGGTGTGGCCGGCTACAGCGTTGAGTCCCAGCACCTACAATAGCCAACAGCAGTGCACGCACAGCACCAAAGTCGTAGGCAGTACAAGACAGAGCGAGAGTGTGGTGCCTGCCACCCGCAAGGACGCGCCTCCGCCAATTCTCAAGCCTTTCTGTCCCGGTTGATTTGTCAATTTGGGGCGGTTGCTGCTGTTGTACCGGGTTCAAGTGCACCTGGTTACTTGCTGCATGTCTGTCGTCTAGCCCTATCATCTGCGATAACAACAACATCTGCATGTGACGCTCCATGGCTCAAAGGTGCACCCTCGTACGGCAGTACTTCATAGCGAAGTCATGTGTGTTTCTGCTATCGTGCATGAAAAGGCACTAGGAAAAACATCCCGCCACCGTGCCGCATTTTGTGTGGTGCCACCGGGCACTGCTGTACTCCTGTGTCACTTGTACCACCAGCGGCACCTTGCAGCTTTGGACTAACGTACTCGTCGTGCACAAAGTAACCAACATCCGTTGTTCCCAGCAGCTATGCATACAACCTAAAATGAGGTATGGATGTGGAAATGTCAAGCCGGGCCGATATACAGTAGTAGAGACAACCACGTGGATGTTTGAATCGTTCCTGGAATAACCTGTAGCCTACATGGCCGTCCAGCCGACAACCTCAGGAACGCCCTGGGCTGTTTTGGGAGCGCTCACTGACAACATTAGTTTTTCTTGATTTGTTGGTGACATCGCTGTCCGCTGTATCACCTGCTGCTTCAATGCCATGTACATGGATGGCTACTGCTTGTAAGAGCTGACATCCAGAACCATCTCCTGGTTTGGAGCATTCACGAACAACAACGTTTGTTGGTGACATCCCTGTTCGCTGCGTCACCCGCATGATACGCACATGGATCGCTACTGCGGTAGGAGCTGATGGTGCTCGATCGTCTCCTTTACCGGAACCGAAGCCAGCACCGCAGCGCCAAGTACTACACCCATGTTCTCGAGGTAAGCAGCAGATCAGTTGTTTAGAGAGGACCCTATTCCCAGTGTATCCGGCAATTGACTTTTACCAGAATCCGGTACACCTGCGCACAACAGTCCTAAACAGGTCGTGCTCCAGCACAAACTCGAGACAGCAGTGAAGGATTACTTTCTATTCATTCAAATATCATGCTGCAGCGAGTAAGATGCTACGTCTGGAGACTCGACATTCTCGCAAAGTTGTCGCGCGATGTTTACGAGCGTCTGTAGAAGCTCTGCCGCGACCCCCAAAGTTCTCTGAAGGGGGTTTCCTGATGCGTGTTTCCGACACCATGACTGTTACCGTTATATTCAAGAGTTGGTGCTTGATTTTGCAGGTGAGACGGGCTTGCGGAGCATTTGCGGCGCCGAAGCTGCCGGACTTGCTGGCGGAAGGTTTGGGCCTCATCGCCCGAGTCCCGGACAGCAGGTGTGCTACGGTAGCAGTTCTCCTTGAGAACGGCACACGCACAGTGGCGAAGTTCCAAGCACAATATGTGCGAGGTTGTTGCGGCGGCATTGGATAGCCTTGCGTCTATGTGCTTTAGACGTGGTGCTTCAAAGTAGTATTTTCGCAACCGTACTCCGGGTGTGCGTGTCAATCATCACGCAGCGACGTTCCCACCCAGCGTGCAGTGATTGAGCTGTAACCAATCATTGCTTTCCAGAGGCTTTTGATTCCGACTCTACCAACGAAATGCTGCTACAGCGACAAGTTCATCTGACACCACGAGTGTTTTCATCGCTTTTCTCTATCTTCTGGGGAAACCCTTTTCTCTTCAGGAACGGTCGGGCGCGGGAGGCGTGGGTTCGCTCCGCCGCAAGGGGGCTCCGCCGAATGCGCGTCGCCGCCGTCGCGTGCGCGCACTCCCTTGAGACCATCGTGAAGGCGTCCAAGCTCCTCGCTCACCAAGTGTCTCAGACGTACTTCATGGCCCTGTCCACGGTCTTCCTCGCGAGTCTGGCGAGGCTCTTCGCGTGCAACCTGCATCTCGGGGGAAGGCTGCTGCTGGTTCACGGTGCCCTGCTACGCACTTTTCTTGTGAGTTTTGCGGTGCTGCAGCTGCACTCCAGTGTGGCAGGGTTTTGAGGGAAGTTTCCGACCTCCTTTCGGTTCCTGTTTCCCGCCCTTCCAAGTGAGACAACCGTGTGATGCTTGGAGGGCAGGATAAAAACCCCAGCTCATGTGTTCTGTTCACTCTGACCCCTCCCCTCCCGCGTGCTACCGCTGTGCTGGTTTCGCTTCCGTCCGGCGCGATGGTGGATACTGCTGTGCCAATCTTCTCGTTCAACCGCCTACCCTGTGATTAGGCGCAACCGTGTTTATCGGATACCGTGTCAACGGCGGAGCTCGCGGAATGTCGTGTGCCCGAAGACACCGTGTCCTTCTTATCTCGCCTTAGGTGTGGATGCCGTTTGTTAGATATGCTTGTGGTTGGTGGTCTGCCGTAGCGGATGAATCCTCCATTTTTTTTTTATGTTGTGTGTTTGGCCTTTAGGGCAGGAGGAGGAACTGCTAGCGCCGTATGACCTCTAGGTGTCTGTGCATAGCGGTGGCATCAGACACGAACGATCATGTGACCCAGTAGTCACTTTGCACTATTAGCACTCGGGCAATGCCCGTGGAACCTGCACACGTGATACCTTATGTGGAAGTCAGGTCTCGTGGTGCTCTCATTGGCCAGCTTTTTTTGACACATGTGTTTAAGTGCGCGTGTAGCCTTCATTTCTCTCGTCCGGGATTTTCATGTTGTTTTATCAACAGCGAAGCAGGCGGTGCTCACAAGACCTCGCGGATGAAGAACGAAAGCAACGCCGCCGCTTCTTTTTCGGGGAACCGGGGAACCGAAAACACTGGCCGCCAACCCTCGTCCTCTTCGTCAGCCCCGGTGGCGACTTCTGGCGAATCTCCACCGGGAGAGCAAGGCAGCGGTGGGGGCGATGCCGACGGTAGCGATGACGACAGTGATGACACCGGTGTGCACATCGGCCGTGTGGCCTCGGTAGAAGCGGAAGAGGTCAACCGCGCCGATGCGGCTTCGAAAGAAGCTTTAAACGGCGCCGAATCTCGCCGACTGGCTGCAGGTGTGGGTGAGGGCCGGACTTCCGTGCGCGAGGGCAGAGCAGCGGCGGTGACGACTGGTCTTGCTGGCGGGATGAGCGCGGCAGGAAGACTGGGTGGTGGCGGTGTTGGTGGAGATGATGGTGGCGGCAGTGGCCATGCCAGCGGCCATCGTGACAACGTGAGCGGGGTGCATGGGGCGAAACTGCCACGAAAGAAGGTACGTGAGCTGGAGTTTTCTTTACAAAATGGTGTTCGGGTGGGGAGAGTTGCGTGTCCTTCGGCGATATGGGGTCGAAATCTGCGCTTGGTGTGAAATATGATTGATGAAGATTGGGCCCTGGTCAAGATGTACACCATACTACAGTGATCGCGCTGCTGCTGTCATGCGTAGAGTCTATAAAGGGTCCCGGCGGAAATCTTATGCATACAAAGTTGTTCTCTATTCAGCCATGCACAAGAGCCCATTGAACATCGATTGGCCGTCGCTTCACGAGGCGTCCATACATATGTTGTCCGCCGTGATTCGTTATGGCTTTGATTGGGTTGATTGAAACCCTTTGTATTGAGCACCTACATGCACCTAGCTCTACAGCTGCACCTGTATTCAGAAATGAGCCTTGGCCTTTTGGCGTTCAAAACGCCAAACGATAGAGCTGCCATGAAGTAACCAATGCGGTGTACGACTGTAGACAGCAGGAATATGGGATGGCAGGAATGGGTTTTACAGCTGCTTACACATGGGAACCTATCGCATCAACGCCGCCACGCCTCGAGGAGGCGTGTGTCTCGGAAGTGCCTCCTGGAATTTGTCGAATACATGAGTGCACCTCATTTTATTGATGGTACACTCACTGGCACTGGGATTGAGTCGAGAGAAGCCCTCCTGCCAGTCGCTATTTGGAGGCATTGGTGTAGGGTAACCGTAGAAAGATATTGCCGGAGTACAGTCCCCATCATTCGTCAACTTGCTCGGGAAACATGGTCATGAGTGAACGCTGCACAACGTGTGCAACGTACGGAGGAGGGATCGATGGCTGACTTTTCTTTTCTACTCCATGGTGCCATTTATCTTGACCCTGCTCCTCAGGTGGTGCTGGCTAGCGAGTTCAGCGACAGTAGTTCCGACGAAGACAGGGAAACCGAATGCAGCAAAAGCGGCCCAAAAACGCCGCAACCAAGCACGTCCGCTCGGGCGCTAGTAGAGACAGGTCATTCGACGTCGCCGTCGCCGGAGGTCCCTCGTCAAAAGCTACCGGTCCACCATCAGCCATCGCTTTTCTTTTCCAGCACGCCGCAAAGAGCACGACAACCGGGACCAAAGCCTCTCAGCGGTGGAGCCGACAACAGCAGTAACGCGGCAGCGACGGGCCCGATAGAGAGTGCCGCTCCCGCCGTGTCGTCCGACCGCGGTGATGTTGGCCTCTCTGGCGATGCGAGTGACATGAGAACCTCGTTGGCAGCGCGGCAGGCACCACCTGCAGCTGGTGCAGGAGCAGTAGCAAGAGCGGGTCAGAGTGAGCCCCCCGTGGGTTGGGTGATTGATGTAAGACCAACGCCTCCTTCTGACATTCCCCTGCTGTCTCGGCGAAAGAAAAAAAGGCGAAAAAAAGCCGGCGGTGGATTGGCAGCGGCGGGGTTGGCAGCGACATCAACTGGCCACAAAGACACCGTTTCGAGCGCTGCGACGGACGGAGATATCAGTGTGCGAGACGAAGATCCGCACCCTGCTAGCTCGGCTTTGCTAGAACCAGGCATGCCTACCGGCCGCGGCGGCGGTGGCGGCGACGGTGGAAGAAGCGCCCAAGCCACTTCTATTGGCGAGGAGGAACCGGTTGAGGCCCAGGGGGCCGGGGTCAGCGATGCCGCCACGACCGGGAGGCGGCAAGCTTCATGTTCAAACACGGGACGCGGAAGCGGCAGCGGCGAAGACGACGAAGAATGTAAAAGCGGTGCTACGAATGCACCCGGACTTTCGAAGGACACGACCGGACGTCCGAAGAAGGCCACATCGACACCACGGTCCGGTGTCACTAACTCTCGTAAGCCTGGTACTGCTGTGCTTCCTGGCACCGCAGCTGATGCTGGTGCTGATGCTGGTGTTGCCGCTTCTGCTGCTACGGCCGAGGCTGGCCGAGGGACGCTCGGCCGTAGTGTGAATACCGGCCGTGTGCCCCAAAAGGGAATAGTACACGCTGCCGATGGACCGGAGAGTGAGTCGAGGGGCGACCTGAGGATGACACTGAAGATGACGCAGCTGGCCTCGGCGGGTAACAGCAAGCGGAGTGCTTCGGAGACGGAGCGTCAACCAAAGGAGACGGATAAGACGATTGGGAGCGGTGGCGGGGGGCAGGCGGGCACGAAGAGAAGCTCGTCTGGCGAAGGGCGAGAAGAAGAGTCGAAGAGAGTGAAGAAGCCAAAAAAGAAGAAAAAGAAGAAGACGGGAGCGGGGGGCTCCTTCTCCTTGTCCGCTGTGAAGAGGGACGACATTGATGACATATTCGGCTCTCTGACTTAGCTTCCGCACAACAAGTGTTTGCGGAACGATATACTTGACCGATTATGGACGGGTTTTGGATCTGCTGGCCTGTGGTACCAGATCTCGCGGAGCAGCTTGCAGCGGTCGTATAGCTGCAACTTCAGTTGTAACATGCACAGGAGGATCAGAAAGCTTTCTTGCGACTTCTTGCGGCGGCAATAAAGGTGCCCACAGTTTTCTGATTGGTCGATTTTTTGACAGGATCGTTCCGAGGAAAGGCGAAAATTCCATGGTCGACCATTGTCGTCATCCACGGTTGTGACGTCACTTCTCGGGGAAACTCGAAAATTTCAAATTCGCCGTGATTGACAAATTGATGGCATTATCAGTCGTTCGCTGGCACCGCCGACCACACCTTCCTGTGCCCTGGACGAACGCGTTTACTCCTGGCTACTTCGAATGAGCGTGCGCGTTATCATTTGCTTCGGGGTTGGGGCTGCCAGAGAGGAGACTTACGACACCGACCGCTCGCCGTATCCGAGTGAGCGGCATGACTGCTAATTGAACTTGTTGGTAGTGCCGTTCAATGCTCTTCGTGTGATACCGGCTCTCCTCATGAAGCTTTGGTTGAGCACGATGGTAGCGAGGGGTCGACGACACTCTCATCCTGAATACCGCTTTTGTGCGAATACGGGCACTTCATAGAGGGAATCAAAATGCTGCGCGGCATGAAGGATACTCTTCGTCTCACGCCTGCTGAGGTCAATCGTCGATACAGTAAGTCAGCGAATGTGATTGCCAGAATGCTACTCTTGAACGTCTGCCAGGGCGACGATATTTTCAGTGAGCTGAGGACGCTGCATGCCGCGATTAGTCATAATTTGTTACACGGAGCACAGTATGGAATGATTGGGTGAAGATTGCATGTAGTGGTCGCAGTTCGCCGGCCTTAAGATCGAAGTGCGCGGTAGTGAAAGTAAAAGGAACCAAGAACGATCAGGGCGTGTCTTAACGCTCTAGACAAGCTGGTGCCAAACAGGGAACAGGAAACTCGGAATTCCCTGTTCCCTGTTCCGTGTCGTTGTGTCTTAGCATATACCTCATTTCCAGGGAACATGGAACACTTGAGCGCGCGCGTGAGGCCCGCATGTCCTCCAAGGCAACAAATACAACCATGGGATACAGAAAGACGAGTAGGGGGTAGAGGAAGGAGGTGGTGGTGTAGGTTTCGAAGGAACCTGTTGACGAGCGCACATCAAATACATGTGCTAGGTATCGGCAGGAACAGGCGGTGCTCGTCATGCAATCCGCGCCCTCGACAGTGCTCTGGAAGGCTTGTTTTTTGAGTTGTGGTCCATGGCCGCTTGCCGTTTCTTTGGCACTCTTTATGTTCCCCCATACAACGGCCTCGCGACCATCCGCCGCCTTTTTCTTTTGCATGCGAGTCCAAGTGAGACACCTGATGATGGCGGCAATTCTTGTAGAGTATACTGCTTGATCGAACTGGTAGCATGCAGCCTGTGGTAGCCACATGCCCGAGAGTGATCACACACATCCCACCACGTCCTGAATTGCCACCGAAGAGCCCGTGTTCCACGTTCCCTATGGTCTATTGGCAAATTTTTATGAACGAGGGAGTGAAAAATATTGTGCGGCGTAACTACAGTACAGTACAGACTCAGACAGGGAACGTGGGTGGCATTTCTTGTTTCCACAAGGGCGCACAAAAAAAAAAAATCCGACACCTAACAAGTTTCCAGGAAAGTTATTTTGTGTGGCCAGCCAATCAGACAAAAATTCCGATTTCCCTGTTCCCTGTTCCCTGTCCAGAAAAGAGACGTTAAGACACGCCCTCGGTACAGGAAGTGGACATCTTGGTGCGTCAAGCCACTAACATATTCTCTTCCAGTGCTTGCTTTGTCAACACAACTTCAAAAAAACCCGTCCATTTTCCCGTGACTGCGTCAACACACACGTCCTCTCTCCCTTGTCTATTCAACACCGGAGTCTGCATAGACAGTCACCGGCGAACCCTACACTCCCAAGGCGCCCTGACGTGTGTATACAATGAAAGACAGAGGCTTTGGCCCCACGCACCCGTTCCTCTTGGCTTCACCGTGTGAACACGCAACACTCATCTGTGAACAAGCCACACCATTTGCAGCTGCCGAACTACTACTTTCGAAACCACAGCTCGGAGTGAATGTTCCGTAGCAATAGATTCTTCTTCTGTGGGACTCTACGCACATACACATACAACATACATCATGGCCTGATAAAACACAACGCCCAAGGCTACAATGGTACTTCTGTCAGCAATCTGGAATCTCGTGATGTTCCCGAGGCACACGGCAACCCGAACAAAAAAAGCAGGTCGTACATAGAGCACGGGGCACCAGACAAACACACCTACTAGACTACCGCTTCAGTCCACTGATATATATCAGTAATGCCAACCTGCACCGCAGCAAAGCCGCGTCTGGTCGGCCGCCAGGTATTCACTCTCAATCGGAAGGTGATCACCGTCAAAGACTCTGTTCCTGTCTCTGTCTCTCTGTCTCCCTCTCTCTACCCACGTCCGGGACAAAAACTACGGGAGTGTATGATTCAAAAGTAACCCCGACAACCCAAATTTCATTTTCACACATTTTTCCCGCAATGTTCACACCGAAATTCGAATTTTTATACAGTTTTCACGCATTGTTCACCGATATCTTATGTATGAAACAAAACGTTCAAACACGCCCTATTGACTGAGACTACCACCCCGGCAGGAACACCTTTCTTTTCTCTACTTTGATCGGGGCTTTGTGTTGCACAAACACACAGTTTTCGCACGCACACGCACCCACAGAAGGAGGATTCTCAAAACCATAACAAGAACAGCTTTTGGGCTATCCCGGTAGACTGCCCCTGGGACAGATTGACGTGCCGTGGCGCGGCTGAGGGGGGACATCTTGATGTCCTGCAACGGGCGAGAATCAACGGATGCCCCTGGGACGTAGACACGTGCTTTGGCGCGGCTGAGGGGGGACATCTTGAAGTCCTGCAATGGGCGAGAAGCAACGGATGCCCCTGGGACGAAGGCACGTGCCGTAGCGCGGCTGAGGGGGGACATCTTGAAGTCCTGCAATGGGCCAGAAGCAACAGATGCCCCTGGGACGAAGGGACGTGCCTTGTCGCGGCTGAGGGGGGACATCTTGATGTCCTGCAATGGGCGAGAAGCAACGAATGCCCCTGGGACGAAGGGACGTGCAGTGAGGCCGCTTCGGGGACATCTTGAAGTGGGCAACGGGCGCCAAACTACGGTTCCCCCCTCGGACGACGATATTCGCAGAAGGGCAGCTTCGAGGGGATATGTTTGCGGTCTGTGACAACCGTTACTGCCATCAACAATGACAACACATCCGAAGAGAAATGGATTACGACGACGACGACGACGAGCACGCTTGCTGCAAGACGTCCATGTCGCGGCGTCCGTGCGTTCGACGTTGTAAGCCTGAAGGCCACAGGCACCCAGAGGTTGGTGCTTACGAGGTTGTGGGGGGTAAGTATCCAGGCATGTGTTTGGAGGCGTTCCGACGTGACTACTGTACCTCGTGGTTGTCCTCGCTGCGGTGGGCATTTTTGGGGGAGATCAATAAAGACCGCTGTAGGACGGGAACCTGGGAAGCAGGAGCCGTCTTGGGGAATGTGTTTTGTTTACTTCAATCTCCGCGCCGAGAAACCTCCGGATGTGGTTGGATTGGGTGCGGCCCAACAGGTCGGCGCGTGGTCCCGCCCATTTTTCATTGACTCCTTTGACTGCCTGTAGTTAGGCACTTATCCGAGCCAGATCTTTGGACCTCGCAGCTCTCTCTCTCCTGTGGTACCAATTGTCTTGGGGAAAAACAATTTACGACTGGGAAAAGGTCTTCAAAACGTTCAAGAACTATTCTTCACGGGAGAAGTTCGCCCCCCCGGTATGAACAAGTTTGCATCCAAACAAGTTCGAAGAGCCGGGGAGGGATAGAGTGACGTACATCTGTCTACCCAGCCGCTGGATTGACTCTACAGTCGGATGACACGGATGGTGTTGTTGCGCAGGAGGGGTGGGCAATATGCGAGCTACATGAACTGAGGTGACAGACTTTAGAATCGGTTAAAAGCAAGTGGTATGTCGGTGGCGGTGTTCAACGCGGATGATGCAATTCCTCGGCCGTGTGTTCCTCGGTCTCGTGTGTTCGGCGCGAGGCGGTTTCGCGATTTTTCGGGGGGAAACGGCCTTTGCGAAGGCGACAAACCTACACGGCAGGGCGGTTATGTTCGGTGGTAGTGCCGTAAGGTGGTAATTATTTAGGCGGTGTTAGGCGATTTCGCGCTTTTCGGCGGTGACGCCTTTGGCGGAGGAGACAAAAACTATAACGCGGCGGCTACCGGCGGTTTGGTTACCACCTACCAAAACGGTGAAGCCAGGGTGCCCGGCCCTGTTTCCCACGGTAGGCTCCACGGGCGTGTGACGGTTATTTGGTCGGCCGCCACCGCCGTCGACCGTGGTTTCAGTGCTACCTTGGGATTGAAACGCCCACACGCTCTCATCCACCGGATCGTCCGAACCAGGCTGCGGCAAAGTCGTACCAGATTCAGCCTTTGCACTCCCTTGGTGTTTTCCTCTGTAATGCTCGTTGTTTTGCTGGACCACCCAGGGCAATAGTCGTGTGTTGTGCGTGCCTCACGCGCCCTTGCCCACTCATCAAGGAACCAACATCTAGACGAACCAAACTAATTAATGGGTCGGCTCGTGATCGTGAGCATGATCGGGGTACGATGGGTATGTAGCCATACCCAAGTGATCGGGTCATGATTTTGGTCATGACCCGGTGCCGCGACCCGACCATGATCGGATCATGACCGAGTCATGATCTGGTCATGACTTGGTGTCGTTTTGAATTTTTCACTCTTCTTGGGAATTTTCGACTAGACCGCTGGACCATGACCTGTGTCTTTACCAAGTCGTGACCTTGTCATGCACGATGAGCGCACCAGGACCGAGATGATTACTTCATCGCTCCAGCATGACCCAATCTTCCACCTATGCCGGCACACCAACCTAGAACGTATCCCACCAGCGCCAACGCAGTACGTATCGCGTGGGTTTGAAAGCCGTATTCATGCACCAGTGCCCAAACAGTTTCGTTTTGGAGCACCAAATTGCATTGGTCATGACCGGAGTCATGTGCATAGCCGAGTCATAACCGACCACATGTATTGATGATGAGGAGCCGCGGAACGCGAAGCGTGCCATTTTTCCCTTCACCCTCAAGGAGGGAAGAAAAGGCTGTAAATATCGGGCTCTTTCAACCATCGCGCTGTAGAGTGCCCCTTCCGCGATAAAAATATACGGGAATGAATGGTACGTCAAATTTTTTCCGCCTGTGGTATGAAATGACAAGAGAAGAACGAGGTCTATAGAGCACCGATTTACGATCTGCTGGGTTGTTAAGAAAGGACGAAGCTAATTAGGGCACTGTTTCTCACACACCGCTTTCGTCACGCTCTGCTAACAGATGGCCGTGAGTCTGTACCCAAATTCATCGAAATTATTGCTCTCGTCCCCGGGAGTTGGACGAGAAGTAAAGGAACACAAAAATGGCGGAGATCGCCTACACACACACACGAAGCAAAGAAGCGGGCATTGATCCGTGTCGAGGAAGCGAAAGGTAAGGGTTTTTTTTCGTGGTTGACAATAACAGCAGTACGCCTATAACAACTGCAACAGCAGTGCAGCAGCTGTGGTACGCTGTGGGTAGCGTGTGTGGCTGAGGCTTGTGTAGAGAAACACAGCATGATTTATTACCTTCACACAGACGCCCGAGCTGTCTTCACCCGACGGTTACAGACTTGGCAACGCCTTCACAATACTGCATCAAACCCAATGCTGTATAATAGAGCCGTTCTGGTACTACAAGCACTTCTAACAGACAACGCAAGGGTTGTCTGCAGATGAAAGAATGCAGCCTGATCTATATCGGGAGTCAATCGGTCGTGTACTGGGGAGTCACGATATGACTCATGCAACGGTAGGGGTGCACGAATCCCTTCTGAGTCTCAAACGAGAGAAGCTCCATATCTCAGCCTGAAATGGACATTGACACAACATGAAAATATGACGTGACAGGTAATCCGATGGGCTAGATGAAACGCCATTGAAATTTGAAATCGGAGTTGATATTCGAAGGTTATTGGTTGGTTATTCATCTGAATAACCGAAGGTTTTGGGCCGTAATGTGCTATCCCTACCGTTGCATGACTCAATAACAGTCGGACGTATCCCTATATTTTTCCGTCGAAGTGATGTGTTCAAGAAGTGAGTTTTTGTTGTCGTAAGTCATCATATGCTTGGTGTCGCGCTAGTAGGTGCCTATTTCGTTGTTCCGGTGGACTGGAGCGTCGAAGGGGAACTGTCTGCCTTCCTTTTTGTTTCGACTATCTTTCTCTCCTTCTTTTCTTTCTGTGTAATTCGTTCTTTCCTTCTTTTTTGACCGGGGTCGATCGTACGTATGTATCCCGGTTCGTTGTTGTTGTTGTCTTCACATTGAAAACCGTTCCGGTCTCCGCTCAGTACCTTCTAATATTCTAACGCGTCCAACTGACGCGGACGCTTTCCGTGTTCACATTCCAACTACCCCCTAAAAGGGGGTATACCTTTCTAGAAAAATACAAGTACTGTAGTATACGGACGCCAGAAACGTCTCCCAAGACGCGATTTGTTTGAACCCAAGTGAAAAAGGTAACTAACCGTGATACACACGATCAAAAAAGGAGGAAATAATGAAAGACAAAGAAAGACAGAAAAAGAAAGCGAAAACGACGAAGAAAGGAAACAAAAAGGAAGATAGACAGCCCCCCTTCAACGCTCCTGTCCACCGGAACAATGAAATAGGCAACTACTAACGCGACACCGAACAAACCAATGACTATTACGACAACAGCAGCATCACATCTGGGGCACTGCGAGGGGCCGGAATCTACCAATGATGTTTTCATGTACCCACTTTTGTCTGCTTCGTGACCCACATTTGTCCGAAAAGTGTACCACCCGAGGTTTGTTCCGATTTTTCATTCGAAAATCGACCTCCACGTCACCACACGCAAAACTGTTTCGAATGAAAAATCGGACAAATAAAGTGGGTACATTTCGGACAAGAGTGGGCCACGAAGAAGGAACAGGTGGGTACATGAAAACGAACGTGGATACCTTTCGGAAAAAAGTGGGTCACAAAGCAGACAGAGATGGACATCATAACATCACATTAATTAGTAGATTCCGGGGGGTGCACCCACCAGAATTTCGGACAAAATCGGGCAACCTGTTTCGGCTTTGTGCGCCACGGCTGTGTGCCGGGTTTGATGCGGCTACATGGAGTTGCACCCTTGGGAATCGAGGTTGTTGTCGCCATAGTGTTTTTGTGTTTTTCCCATAGTGTTTTGTCCCCATAGGGTTGTTGATAATACTCTAAAGCCGTTCAAGCGCTCTTTTCGAAATCGATACTGATCGAGAGGCTGCTACCATCCGGCCGGTAGCTGTTTATTGCTCGCGAAGTGGGCGTGAGATTATTTCATTTCACCCCAACAATTATGCATTTGTGGCCACTGAGAGCCAGAAACACAAGCTCGAGACCACTCTTGTAGGACCTCTTGCACGTCACAGGATCCCACCTGATTGTGGTGCGTCTTCCATGATCAGGTGCGGGAAAGAGACCGGCTGGCTCGTTAGTCGTGCTTGGCAGGGTACCAGGCATGGCTGTGTGTATCGCAAGCACTCGGCGTCAGCCACCAGCACGTTATAAAACTTGGTTCATACCATACATGAATCATGCATGTTTTCTCGGGGAATGGGTGCAACGATGAAGGTATGGCTGAGGCCTGACCGATGTGAGACAGACTATGCAACCATTTAAAACGCGAAATATATATCAACACCAAGTCTCTCACTACTGGGGCTTTGAGAATTTCGGTTTTTGATCACGACTGACTCATGACCCGACCATCGGTCATGACCCGACCGTCGGTTATCACGCGATCATCACCCGATCATGAATGGGTCGTGGCTATGATCGAGTCATGACCCGGTCACGCGATGAAGTCATAAAGTCTTGCCTCGGTCATAACTCGGCAGCGCATATGACTCCGGTCATGACCAATCCAATTTGATGCTCCTGAACAAAGAGAATCTGTTTAGGGAACGGTTTGTCGCCTCCGCAAAGGCCGTTTCGCCCTCGAAATTAGCAAAACCGCCCCGCGCCGAACACACGACCGAGGAACACACGACCGAGGAATTGCATTTACCGGTCCACATTGTTACCCGCCTTGAACACCGTCACCGACACACCACCCGATTCTAAATTCTGTCGCCTCAGTTCATGTAGCTCGCATATTACCCACCCCTCCTGCGCAACAACACCATCCGTGTCATCCGACAATAGAGTCAATCCAGCGGCTGGGTACACAGATGTACGTCACTCTATCCCTCCCCCGCTCTTCGAACTTGTTTGGATGCAAACTTGTTCATACCGGGGGGGGGGAGACTTTTCCCGTGTAAGATAGCTCTTGATAGTTTTGAAGACCTTTTCCCAGTAGTCGTAAATATTCTTACCCCTAGACAATTGGTACCACAGGCGAGAGAGAGCTGCGAGGTCCAAAGATCTGGCTCGGATAAGTGCCCAACTACAGGCGGTCAAAGGAGTCAATGAAGAATGGGCGGGACCACGCGCCGACCTATTGGGCCGCATCCAATCCAACTACATCCGGAGGTTTCTCGGTGCGGAGACAGGAGTACACAAAACAATTCCCCAAGACGGCTCCTGCTTCCCAGGTTCCCGTCCTACAGCGGTCTTTATTGATCTCCCCCAAAACGCCCACCGCAGTGAGGACAACCACGAGGTAGTCACGTCGGAACGCCTCCAAACACATGCCTGGTTACTTACCCACCACCACCTCGTAAGCACGAACCGCTGGGTGCCTGTGGCCTTCAGGCTTACAACGTCGAACGCACGGACGCCGCGACATGGACGTCTTGCAGCAAGCGTGCTCGTCGTCGTCGTCGTCGTAATCCATTTCTCTTCGGATGTGTTGTCATTGTTGATGGCAGTAACGGTTGTCACAGACCGCAAACATATCTGCTCGAAGTTGCCATTCTGCGAATGTCGTCGTCCGAGGGGGCAACCATGGTTTCGCGCCCGTTGCCCACTTGAAGCTGTCCCCGAAGCCGCCTCGCTGCACATCCATTCGTCCCAGGGGCACTCATCCCCCCTCGGCCGCGACAAGGCACGTCCGTTCGTACCAGGGGAATCCGTTGCTTCTGGCCATTCGATGGACTTCAAGATGTCCCCCCGAAGCCACGCCAGAGCACGTTCACTCATCCCAGGGGCATCCGTTGCTTCTCGCCCATCGCAGGACATCAAGATGTCCCCCGGAAGCCGCGTCACTGCACGTCCCTTCGACCCAGGGGCATCCGTTACTTCTCGCCCATTGCAAGACTTCAAGATGTCCCCTCGAAGCCGCGGCAAGGCACGTCCCTTCATCCCAGGGGCATCCGTTGATTCTCGCCCATTGCAGGACTTCAAGATGTCCCCCCTCAGCCGCGCCACGGCACGTCCATTCGTCCCAGGGGCATCCGTTGTTTCTCGCCCATTGCAGGACTTCAAGATGTCCCCCCTCAGCCGCGTAACAGCACGTCGTTTCGTTCCAGGGGCATCTGTTGCTTCTCGCCCATTGCAGGACATCGAGATGTCCACCCTCAGCCGCACGAAAGCACGTCGCTCCGTCCCAGGGGCATCCGTTGCTTCTCGCCCATTGCAGGACTTCAAGATGTCCCCCCTTAGCGGCGCGACTGCACGTGTCTTCGTTCCAGGGGCATCCGCTGCTTCTCGCCCATTGCAGGACTTCAAGATGTCCCCCCTCAGCCGCGCCATGGCACGTCGCTACGGTCCAGGGGCATCCGTTGCTTCTCGCCCATTGCAGGACTTCAAGATGTCCCCCCTTAGCCGCGCGACTGCAGGTCAATTCGTCCCAGGGGCATCCGTTGTTTCTCGCCCATTGCAGGACTTCAAGATGTCCCCCCTTAGGCGCGCGACTGCACGTCCATTCGTCCCAGGGGCATCCGTTGCTTCTCGCCCACTGCAGGACATGAAGATGTCCCCCCTCAGCCGCGCCATGGCAAGTCGCTACGTCCCAGGGGCATCCGTTGCTTCTCGCCCATTGCAGGACATGAAGATGTCCCCCCTTAGCCGCGCGGCTGCACGTCCAGTCGTCCCAGGGGCATCCGTTGCTTCTCGCCCATTGCAGGACTTCAAGATGTCCCCCCCCAGCCGCGCCGCTGCAAGTCCATTCGTTCCAGGGGCATTCGTTGCTTCTCGCCCATTGCAGGACATCAAGATGTCCCCCCTCAGCCGCGCCACGGCACGTCCATTCGCCCCAGGGGCATCCGTTGCTTCTCGCCCATTGCAGGACATCAAGATGTCCCCCCTCAGCCGCGCCACGGCACGTCCATTCGCCCCAGGGGCATCCGTTGCTTCTCGCCCATTGCAGGACTTCAAGATGTCCCCCCGAAGCCGCGCCAAAGCACGTGTCTTCGTTCCAGGGGCATCCGCTGCTTCTCGCCCATTGCAGGACTTCAAGATGTCCCCCCTCAGCCGCGCCACGGCACGTCCATTTGCCCCAGGGGCATCCGTTGCTTCTCGCGCATCGCAGGACTTCAAGATATCCCCCCGAAGCCGGGTAACCGCACGCCCATTCGTTCCAGGGGCATCCGTTGCCTCTCGCCCATTGCAGGACATCAAGATGTCCCCCGGAAGTCGCGTCACTGCACGTGCCTTCGTCCCAGGGGCATCCGTTGCTTCTCGCCCATTGCAGGACTTCAAGATGTCCCCCAGAAGCCGCGCCACGGCACGTCCATTCGTCCCAGGGGCATCCGTTGCTTCTCGCCCATTGCAGGACTTCAAGATGTCCCCTCGAAGCCGCGGCAAGGCACGTCCCTTCGTCCCAGGGGCATCCGTTGATTCTCGCCCATTGCAGGACATCAAGGTGTCCCCTCTCAGCCGCGCCACGGCACGTCCATTCGTCCCAGGGGCATCCATTGTTTCTAGCCCATTGCAGGACATCAAGATGTCCACCCTCAGCCGCGCCACCGCACGTCCGTTCGTCCCAGGGGCATCCGTTGCTTCTCGCCCATTGCAGGACATCGAGATGTCCCCCCCCAGCCGCGCGAAAGCACGTGCCTTCGTCCCAGGGGCATCCGTTGCTTCTCGCCCATTGTAGGACTTCAAGATGTCCCCCCTCAGCCGCGACACGGCACGTGTCTTCGTTCCAGGGGCATCCGTTGCTTCTCGCCCATTGCAGGACTTCAAGATATCCCCCGGAAGCCGCGACACGGCACGTGTCTTCGTTCCAGGGGCATCCGTTGCTTCTCGCCCATTGCAGGACGTCAAGATGTCCCCCCTCAGCCCGGCGATTGCACGTCCGTTTGTCCCAGAGGCATCCGTTGTTTCTAGCCCATTGCAGGACTTCAAGATGTTCCCCCTCAGCCGCGTAACAGCACGTCGTTTCGTTCCAGGGGCATCTGTTGCTTCTCGCCCATTGCAGGACATCGAGATGTCCACCCTCAGCCGCACGAAAGCACGTCGCTACGTCCCAGGGGCATCCGTTGCTTCTCGCCCATTGCAGGACATCAAGATGTCCGCCTTTAGCGGCGCGACTGCACGTCCAATCGTCCCAGGGGCATCCGTTGTTTCTCGCCCATTGCAGGACTTCAAGGTATCCTCCCGTAGCCGCGCCGCTGCAAGTCCCTTCGTTCCAGGGGCATCCGTTGATTCTCGCCCATTGCAGGACTTCAAGATGTCCCCCAGAAGCCGCGCCACGGCACGTCCATTCGCCCCAGGGGCATCCGTTGCTTCTCGCCCATTGCAGGACATCAAGATGTCCCCCCTTAGCCGCGCCAAAGCACGTGTCTTCGTTCCAGGGGCATCCGCTGCTTCTCGCCCATTGCAGGACTTCAAGATGTCCCCCCTCAGCCGCGCCACGGCACGTCCATTCGCCCCAGGGGCATCCGTTGCTTCTCGCCCATTGCAGGACATCAAGATGTCCCCCCTTAGCCGGGTAACCGCACGTCCATTCGTTCCAAGGGCATCCGTTGCTTCTCGCCCATCGCAGGACTTCAAGACGTCCACCCTCAGCCGCGCCATGGCACGTCGCTACGGTCCAGGGGCATCCCTTGCTTCTAGCCCATTGCAGGACTTCAAGATGTCCCCCCTTAGCCGCGCGACTGCAAGTCCATTCGTTCCAGGGGCATTCGTTGCTTCTCGCCCATTGCAGGACTTCAAGATGTCCCCCCGAAGCCGCGCCACGACACGTCCATTCGCCCCAGGGGCATCCGTTGCTTCTTGCCCATTGCAGGACTTCAAGATGTCCCCCCGAAGCCGCGCCAAAGCACGTGTCTTCGTTCCAGGGGCATTCGCTGCTTCTCACCCATTGCAGGACATCAAGATGTCCCCCCTCAGCCGCGCCACGGCACGTCCATTCGCCCCAGGGGCATCCGTTGCTTCTCGCCCATTGCAGGACTTCAAGATGTCCCCCCTTAGCCGGGTAACCAGCACGCCCATTCGTTCCAGGGGCATCCGTTGCTTCTCGCCCATTGCAGGACATCAAGATGTCCGCCGGAAGCTGCGTCACTGCACGTCCATTCGTCCGAGGGGCATCCGTTGCTTCTCGCCCACTGCAAGACTTCAAGATGTCCCCCAGAAGCCGCGCCACGGCACGTCCATTCGTCCCAGGGGCATCCGTTGCTTCTCGCCCATTGCAGGACTTCAAGATGTCCCCTCGAAGCCGCGGCAAGGCACGTCCCTTCGTCCCAGGGGCATCCGTTGATTATCGCCCATTGCAGGACATCAAGATGTCCCCTCTGAGCCGCGCCACGGCACGTCGATTCGTCCCAGGGGCATCCGTTGCTTCTCGCCCATTGCAGGACATCAAGATGTCCACCCTCAGCCGCGTCACCGCACGTCCGTTCGTCCCAGGGGCATCCGTTGCTTCTCGCCCATTGCAGGACTTCAAGATGTCCCCCCAACACCACGAAACTGGACGCCCATTCGTCACAGGGGCATCCATTGCTTGTCGCCGATTGCAGGACATCAAGATGTCCCCCCTTAGCCGCGACAAGGCACGTCCCTTCGTTCCAGGGGCATCCGTTGCTTCTCGCCCATTGCAGGACATCAAGATGTCCCCCCTCAGCCGCACGAAAGCACGTGCCTTCGTCCCAGGGGCATCCGTTGCATCTCGCCCATTGCAGGGCCTTCGAGATGTCCCCCCCCAGCCGCACGAAAGCACGTGCCTTCGTCCCAGGGGCATCCGTTGCTTCTCGCCCATTGCAGGACATCAAGATGTCCCCCCTCAGCCGCGACACGGCACGTGTCTTCATCCCAGGGGCATCCGTTGATTCTCGCCCATTGCAGGACTTCAAGATGCCCCCCCTCAGCCAGGTGACTGCACGTCCGTTTGTCCCAGGGGCATCCGTTGTTTCTCGCCCATTGCAGGACTTCAAGATCTCTCCCCTCAGCCGCGTAACAGCACGTCGTTTCGTTCCAGGGGCATCTGTTGCTTCTCGCCCATTGCAGGACATCGAGATGTCCACCCTCAGCCGCACGAAAGCACGTCGCTACGTCCCAGGGGCATCCGTTGCTTCTCGCCCATTGCAGGACATCATGATGTCCCCCCGAAGCCGCGCGACTGCACGTCCATTCGTCCCAGGGGCATCCGTTGTTTCTCGCCCATTGCAGGACATCAAGATGTCCTCCCGTAGCCGCGCCAAAGCAAGTCCCTTCGTTCCAGGGGCATCCGTTGCTTCTCGCCCATTGCAGGACTTCAAGATGTCCCCCCGAAGCCGCGCCACGGCACGTCCATTCGCCCCAGGGGCATCCGTTGCTTCTCGCCCATTGCAGGACTTCAAGATGTCCCCCCTTAGCCGGGTAACCGCACGTCCATTCGTTCCAGGGGCATCCGTTGCTTCTCGCCCATTGCAGTACTTCAAGATGCCCCCCCTCAGCCGCGCCATGGCACGTCGCTACGTTCCAGGGGCATCCGTTGTTTCTCGCCCATTGCAGGACATCGAGATGTCCACCCTCAGCCGCACGAAAGCACGTGTCTTCGTTCCAGGGGCATCCGTTGCTTCTCGCCCATTGCAGGACATCAAGATGTCCCCCCGAAGCCGCGCCGCGGCACGTCCGTTCGTCCCAGGGGCATTCGTTGCTTCTCGCCCATTGCAGGACTTCAAGATGTCCCCCTTCAGCCGCGCCACGGCACGTCCATTCGCCCCAGGGGCATCCGTTGCTTCTCGCCCATTGCAGGACTTCAAGATGTCCCCCCTTAGCCGCGCGGCTGCACGTCCATTCGTTCCAGGGGCATCCGTTGCTTCTCGCCCATTGCAGGACTTCAAGATGTCCCCCCTCAGCCGCGCCATGACACGTCGCTACGTTCCAGGGGCATCCGTTGCTTCTCGCCCATTGCAGGACATCGAGATGTCCCCCCTCAGCCGCACGAAAGCACGTGTCTTCGTTCCAGGGGCATCCGTTGGTTCTCGCCCATTGCAGGACATGAAGATATCCGTTCTTCGCTGCCGTAGAGCAGATATCTTTTTCTCCGATTTCGCGATACCTGTCCGAGTTCCGCGATGCGAATTTCAGGCACGGTCCGACAGTTCAGGAAAACAGTGGCCGAATGCGCAACAATAGGACTATGCAAACACACCCCATAGTTCTGAGCCGATATACGCAAATACGTGCGCCAAAACCCGCCGTTGCATGGGTAGCATCTACAAATAACCCAATAGACTTTGTGAACGTGCGTCATCCTTTAGACTACTCTCATGCCCTCTATCATGCCAGCGGTTCGTTCTGCGACAGGCGATTATGGTCACCAAGGAAGGACCAACGAGAAGGAGCTGCTCGGTGCTGCTCATCCGATGTCAAGCTGGAGGTGGCCAGTGCACAACAGAGCCCTGTCATAATGGTCTCACCCTGACGCAAGTAGTACGGCTTCCCTCTCTGCCGCAGCCCTTCTTTCCCTTGCACCCGTCGCCTTCGCGTCCACCTCCTGTATGGTACGTGTTATTCGCCAAAGGTGTACGTCTTCGGAAACGTGCGGTGGCTAGACAGAGGATGAAAATGATATTTGACGACCCAGCATGACCAGTGTTTGTGCGGCCTTACCGCCGAACGAGAGGTCGTATTGGTTGACAGCTGAGCGGATGATCAGCAGCACACTCGAGTATCAAAGCCTCTCTAGAATATGCACGGACACATGAATCCAACAAAGATATAACGGGTAGCCGGATTCTACCTCGGCTTTTAACCCCGAAATCATCCCTTCTGCCGCGGTGAGTTTCGCCGACTGAATAAAAAAAAATAGGGAGTCGGTGGGAGAGCGACGGACGGTGATCGGCGCACGCTTTCGAATAGTTGTGTTTTAACACCCCCGGAGGCTTCAAAGTCTCCACCAACTTCCCAAATTTACACCTTTCTTCTCTCGACTGCCGTGCGATGAAATGCGTGCTCCCCCTCTGGATAGGTATTTCGCTGTGCCGGAACCGTCAGCTGAAATCTGCGGTAGGTGCTTCGAGGGGTCACTGTAGTCGGAACCCTTGCAAGATTTCCCATGCCCCACGTAACTCGGTTTATGGCATAGTCTAACCCCCTCGTCGGGAGAGAAGTGCCTACATTTGGGTTTTCTTTGCGTTGAATGGGTCAAGTCATCCTCACACTTCCAAGTTTGGGGCGACGGAACTGACCGAAGGGAAAATCCCACCATGGGAACAACCGGGCTTGGTGCTGCAAACCGTCGATACTCGTTGCCAAGGTGTTGGCAATCGGGTCTGAGGTATGATATACCTCCATGAGACTCTGCGAGGTTTGTGCTCATTGGACGTGGTTTTCAAACAGTTCGGCGTTTGTAGGATGGGCGCGCAGAGCTACATTTTCTTGGTCTTGTGCTTCATCCTCCCGGTTTTTGGATTGCCGCGTGGCCACAGAAACTCGGATGTATTCCATTGAAACAGCATTGGACACGGGAAGCGGAGCAGAGGTCCTCGTGGCCAAACAACAACAAACAGCAACATGTTCCGTAGACCTCATAAATGTGCGATGCCTCCTGCGTTCGATGCGATTGGGAATACGGTTAGCATCGCAGGCGGACGGTATGTGCCCAGGCACTTCCACGCCGCGTCATGTTGTTTGGATTTAGAAAACAACTACTGTAGTGGTGAGGCACCCGACCCAACATAGTCGGAACTGGTAACCTCTCGGGCACAACGACTCAGAACTTGTCTTGCAGTTGTGCTTTGGCAGCCCTTCTTGTTCTGAACTAGCTAAAAATTGGTTCTGCGACGTTGCAACAACTCGCCAACTCGGCTGCAGGTGGCGGGGGCTATGAGTGTAGCTAAAGAGCAAGACGCCTGCTTAACCTACTTGAACTACCTGGACGGTATGCCATGTGGGCAAGACATGTGGACATTCCCTGTCTTGCCAACCGTGCTTCTCTGGTGAGTGGAAACGGTGGTTGCTTTCTTTTTACTGGTTGGCCCCGATAGTGTGGTTGCGATGAAGGCCACTCGCAGCCTACCACGGATTTACACCATCGATCGATGCGTTTCTTCACGCCGGAAGTCAATATACCTACTGTTGAATTCATCACCCAGCTTTGTGCTTTGGCCTTTGCGTCCGCCGCCTCTGCTTGTAAAGATGCAAGCTGCTTCTCCGAGCTCGCCCTTGCTGCTTTGAACCTCGCCAACTGGCACGAATGAAGGAAGATCGGTACACGAAACAAGACCCATTGTTGGGGCCGGCATTTGACTATGCCGGTCTAGCTCTTGTCCCCATTACATACCCAAAGTATTGACGCATCTACCGTTCTCCCGGATCAAGAAGTTGCCTTACTGAAGGATCGCACTTCGACGCCGTGGGAGCCGAGGGGACACCATTGGGCAGAGGCATCAAGCCGCCCCCGTTTTTTCGAGGCCGCTTGCGATCATCGAGGCGTTATCGAGGTTTCGCTCAGACTGAACTACACAGCCAAGTGCCCAACATCGTTCCACGATGGGCGCGGACGAAAACGCCAAGATCGAGAGACACTTCTGTAACGGATCGTGCACTCTGTTCTCTTTGTTGCTTTCGTGACCGCGGCTCGTTTCGACTGTGGCCAAACTGGCCGGGAAAGACTCCATGCGCTGTTCGTGACCCAGCAATTAGCATTTGTTGGAATCGCTTGCGGTGTTGGTGATAGACAACGCAAACACGAATGTCTCCCGGCCAACCGGCTAAACGAATGAAATGAGCGTACCTGCGCCTTGTACAAGATCGAAGGCCTTCGTAAGACTGTGTCGGTGCTTGGGCGTGCATGAGGGTCTTTCTGCAGCAGCTCTTCCACGAGACTCCGCAGCTCAGTGCTGTACCTATTGGAATATATTTCCGCAAACCACGGCGATTTCGATTGAGCCTAGACATACTATTCTTTCCGTAGGGTGTCGTGTTGGAACTGTGTACAGATCAATATTCCAGTCCCGTTCATGGCAAAGAAATAGGAACATGCGTTCGCTGAGCTTCTCGTGTGCGGACCTCTACCAAATGCTGACCCGCACTACACATGTATGGCTGGTCAACACTACACATTGACCAAGAGGATGCCACCCCCGACGACGACTTGACGTCATGTACCGCACCTGGCTGGTATCGGTTCCGGGTCTGTTTGGAGAATCTTCGCCACCGATGCGAACGGACGACGCAGTTGGGTCATCTCGTACAGAACGCACCTTCGAGGAGGCCGAAAGGGGGCGCTGAGCGCTGATGATGCTTACGTTTTGACGCGCGATAGAACACTTGAGTTCCGTGCAGCAACAAGTCAGGTCTACTCAATCAGACTCTGGTGCGCACGTCTCGTTCCGCCAGTACAGAACCACGAAATACGCCTTATCCCACCCACCGCAATGCAACAACGTCACATATGAAAATGTTAGCGCTTCCCAAATCACGATATGGAACAGTGCTCTAGATCTACCACGTGTGTACTACGGTTGGTTGTACGTGCCGCAAAATCGCCAACAAGCACGAATAATGCTACCAGGAGATCCCTTGTGGTGGCGTCGTGATCTCCGCCAAGTCAAACCCAATCCCCCCTGCTGTTCTTACCCCAAGCTCCACATGTCGGCCTTGTGACCGAATGGATGGTCGTCCAGCACCTCAGGGGCCATGTAAACGGGCGTACCACATCTCGTGCTGGCCATGTCGGCAGTGCACTCAAGAACCTTGGTGAGGCATTCAGGTGCAGCGGGCCGCAAAAAAGACACGATCTCACTCGGTAACAACCGTAACAGCGTGGCCCAGTATTCTCAACGTGGGTCTCAATTCCGGCCGGTTTTCACACAAAAACCGTGGATGCTACATGTACATGAGCTTATTGTGGCCATGATGCGTAGCCACGTCACTTTTGGATACAGCGCAAACTTCCTTGCAGGCGACCTAACCTTGGCGATGCCAAAATCTCCGAGTTTAATCGTCCCCGAGCCCGTGAGAAAGACGTTCATCGGCTTGAGGTCTCTGTGAAGAAAATTGCTTTCGTGGATGTAGCGCAGCGCGGAAGTCATCTGCACAAACCTTCGGAGAAACAGAGGGGTCGAGTTGCGATGCAACAGTTGAATGAAGCGAAACAAGTGGATGACGTCGGATCTTTCAACCGGTAATGCCTGACCGTCCACCAACCCCGCATAAGCTTACCAGTCAAAGATCAGCTCCTCGTCTAGCAACCGCCCATTTCGCTGCTTGATGTAGTCACCGAGATCCCCTCCGTCAGCGTAGTCCATGACAATGCAAAGCAGTCCTTCGGACGGGCCGTGGAAGAAACTCTCCCAGAAGCCCACGATGTTCGGGTGCGAAAGGTGTTCGAGCAGAGTCGCTTGTTTGCGAGCCTGTTTCGGGGCGCGGAGGGGTGGGGGGGCAGCTGTATGGATGCGGGCAGTTTGAAGGCCGCGGCCACTTGCTTTCTCTCGATCTCGACAAAAACCAGTTTCTCCCATTGAAACCACGGAGTTTCAGTAATCGGCAACCTTGATACAGTTCAAATGATATTGAGATAGCTCAATATCAGTCTACCAACCTATACCTCTATTGTCGGCAAAACCATAGGCAGGCATGCTGCACGTATGCCTGTCGTATCTCGAGGTATTCTCTTCGTCGGAGTGAATCATTTGATGTAGGGATATGTAGGAATTGGAGGGGCCTCTTTCGACGGTCGGCGGTCCCGCTCAACGTTTTTTCGGTATACTTCGATTCTTCTTGTGACCTTCGCCCAGGTCCGCGTTGAATTGAGAGTCACCATAAGCTACGTTTCCCATCGGCATGATACAAGTCAAACTTCAATAATCCGCACTCGTGCTTTTCGGTCTCACCTCACGACGGGCCTCAGGCGAGAGCATCGGTATGTTAATCTGCTTGATGATGCACGCCTGGGGTGCAGGGACAGGGAAAAGCCAGGGGGGGGGGGGGTGATGGCGCATTGAGAATCAAGCTACATGTAGACTGAGGACTTGTTTGACGCCCACAATTCGCAAGCTCCGCTATTCAAATCGCCCTATTCCGATTGAATAGTAAGAAAACGGAGACACACAGCACAACTCCTTGCGACGCTATCAACGTTGGGTCGACAACCAACCCATCACATACCTTGTTGCCGGCGATCCTAGTGCAGAGAACGGCCTGGCCAAAGCCCCCACTCACAACAACCTCGATCACGCAGTAATGGTCCATCCTGGTGCTTCAAAGGTCTTGCCGTTTATCTGCTTTCAATCAGCGACCCCCCGACCGACCGAAACATTTGCGGAGCAGTCGAGCAAAGCCGATCCAATGGTGTGAGATGCCCTGCCAACCAAATTGATGTTTTCGTCTTCATGCAGACCTAAATATGTGTAGAGCATCGTTTCATTGTTGGCGGTGTCGAGATCACCAGTGTGAGAGAGAGAAGAGTAGCAGGAGAGAGGGAGCCAACCCTAGGCACACGCAAGCTTCGCGCCCTGGTCCCCCCTCGAAACTGATTCTCTCGCAAGCAACGCGTGGGCGGTGGGCTCCGACTACTGGTACTTTGTATGTGCCCGGGAATGATCGTGTACGCGAACGATACTCGACCTTTCGGCTGTAAACGCAAACGTAGTAAGTACCATTTCTTGCCGTTTGACGATCTACGTAAGGTAGCTCCGGTGACGACCAAAGCAATAAACGTGTTGTCATGAATTTCGGTTGCCAAACGAAGAAATGTTTTTGTGGCTCGCGTTAAGGAGGCTTTCGCCAGTAAATCACCTTGTTTAACCACCACATCTGTTCTTGGCCACATACGGTTCCGCCCAGTCTGTGGCGACACATTGCCAACGTATGTGGTACTTCGAGGCAGCACGCCCTGGTGTGGTAGTTTACATAAGGGTGCAGTTCTTATTGTCTTAATAGCACCCCAAGTCATGTATGTTCAGGCTTTCAACCGCACCCCCGGTGCGATAACGCCGATGGGTGCGGTCTTGTGGATTACAACACGGCGACTTTGCTCGTCCAAAGATGCTTTGTACTGGTAGCCCTTGAATGCACGTACGCTTTAATGAATAGGTGAGTGGTGCTCCATTGATACCCTTGCGGCATTGAAAGACCAACCACACGCACCCATTACAAAAAAATATGTAACAGGCAGCCACGTCCAGGGGCCTGCTCTCTCTAGCCAAGTGGCCCGCAGCCACTTCCAGTGGCATGCAGTCTCTAACCCTAAGCGGGATTATGTTATTCGATTCGGTGTCATCGAACCTCGTGCGGAATCGATTTTGTTATACCGTCCTTGCTTTTGTTGCGTACCACTGCTGTCCAATGAATACGAGGGGTGCGAAACCACCCGCCGGTGCACTGGTTCAAACCAATACGGTGGTGTACTCTAGACAATTTACTTTCGGACCCGCCTTCCTTTTCGGTCAAAGGACCCGTACTTCCTTTGTGGCGAATGAACAAATATAAGTACAGATACAGTGTAGGAGCCACCGCGGAATTGTTCGTGCTAACAAATTTTGTGTCCTTCAGGCTTCTCACGTTTGGCGGCACCTTGAGCCCGGGTGCATGAAAGTATTCTCCCGTGCAGGGCCTCTTCCTGGCTACGCGCACTCTTCCGTACAATTAAACTGACTCTAGTCCGTGCGATTATAACGGTGTCGCCGGTTACAGTAGATGGCGTCTCCTCAACGATACGCCAAAACGCGCAGTTTCAATTCCATGCCTGTCTGTTGTCTCCTTTCGCATTCAGAGAAATAATTACAGGTGGTTGCACTTTGAAATCTTTGGTCATAGGGCACGGAGGCGGAGAAGCTCTCGATTGTTTGAGACGGTCGCGAGGTATTTTTCACATCACCTTTCGTTTGACCTTGCGTTTCTCGGAGTATTCGCGCTGTAGATATTCTGCGGCATCCACCCACATATTCGGTGGAACTACACAATGAAAGCCTTTGGCGAGAAAAGAGGCGTGTCCGTCAATATATAGATCAAGAGTAGTTGTCCATCCCACGCTCGACCAACACATCAGTATCAGCTTGAAAACTCGGAGACATCACCGCCAACGAGATAACAGACTTTCGCCAGGATTTGACCAGGAATGCTGGCGCTTTGTTTGTTGTGTTCAGAGGAATAGTTACTTTGAGTTATCGTGCAGTTGCAAGAGCCGCATTGCATGGGGCCTAGTGCAGTTCCCGGCGTTCCGGGTATCCCCCCCGCGTGGGGTGAAAACGCGCGCCAAGGAAGTCGTAACCTCCGAGCAGTGTCATTGCACAACGTGAAAATCTTCCATACTGGCCGACGAACGCGGCTCGTTTAAAAGGGTTCAGCACAGACGGTCGCCTCGATGGCCTATAGACGTACGCTCGCCAACCTACTCGTAGTGATATGACTTCCGTTCTCTCTGGATAGAGTGAAAAATATACCTTGCAATTTCGATCGGAAACGATCAATTTCAAATTACAAACTACACGAACTTTTGCATCATTACAACTGAACCGCAATATTGGCCAAATGTCAGAGACTCCAGAGGGGTTCCGCATAGCAGCAAACGCCCGCACATACGAGATGTTTGATCAATTTTGGTTCCACACAAACGATGCTGATACTCAACAATGAAGGCTTGTGAATGTTTGATTCCAATGATCGTTGATTGGTTTCTACACGTAAAACTACATCAATCACCATGGGGTTGGGTCTCATCTGCACCGAAAAAAGGCACCGCCATTTTCTACGGTAGTAGGCAGTAGTATTACGTTGTCTTGGCAATTCCAGCGGACCCCTTCAGTTCTCCTACCTCGAGCACTCCACACGCCATTCTTTTACAAAGACAGCACCCAGATCGACCGCAGATAGATTCCGTGATGTACCGTCTCCATTATTGAAGAACCACTACTGTAGATGCGAGATGCCCGGCCCATTGGCTGTTGCGCCGAACAATTTCACTCATTTACACCCCCTACACACAATATATTTCTTTGGTGTCCGCTAGAAACTTGACACTGCATGCAAATGGACACCGCTGAACCGTTGTCCGAATAAATACAACAAATAAATACGAGTATTTCACGAGGGCCAGCACCAAGGAGAGGAGGGAGGTAGGGTCTTCAAGAAGAAAAAACGCCCCCGTGCGACGTTGCTCCTGCGATATGCTCCCACTGATGCATCAAGTACGCCGAGAAGGTGTGTGCGCGTAGACTGGCGGCGCCAGAATAGGTGGTCCTGACGAAAGTGATAGGTCTATCGCGAAAGCTCAAGGCATGATGAGCGGCTACAATACGCGCCCGGGTTGGGTCAAAACAAGTGTACACAGAATGAATTATCGTCTCGAATGACCGTCCAATTCTTGGACCCGAGCTCCCAGAGCAGCAATCTTTCCAACCGTCGGCAAATAGTCAAATGTTACTTGTTGGATGGTCACCAACGGCGGATCGTGAACGGTACGTAGGTCTGGCATATGGTACTGCTGCTTTTGAGATATTGTTCCTGTGCTCTAATACGATGTTGTCATGTTGGGGTTCTTGCACCCAATGCAGTTTCTCTCGGAGGAATACAACAACATGATGACACGGCGGAGAGGAGTAGACTGCAGCGCGCCGAAGTTGCAGCACACTCAAAGACCAACACTTCAGACATACAATAAAGGTACTCACGGGCGCAACAGCGGCACGCAACACAGGGCTATAACCTGTGATTGATGTCACAGATGGATATTTCAACATGAAAAACCCACGAACGTACATCGTACCATCCGTCACAGAAGAACTTGAGAGCTCAGCAACAGTGGGTCGCATGCACGTGCGTGCATGCATAGACTATTGTTGTCTGTGCATGGAAAGACTGTGGGCAAAAGCCTTCCTGCCGCGTTCGTACCATCGTCTCAACTACTGGTGTATACACTCTTGCGCTAAGCAGGCTATACCTGAGCCCATTGCTATGCTGTAGCAGCACGGTAACCACTCACCCTCGGAAGGAAGCAGACGACACCAACCACGACGAATGATGAGGAAGCGGGGTGCACCAGGTGGTACGTTTCGTCGATTTCCCCCGGGTGGCATTGATGGGTTGATGTTGTCGCCACTGAGTACTCCGGGAGAGTGTAAACGATCAAGTAGTGTATGTAGGTATTCAAGGCTGCGACCTTTCACTATTCAATTAGATTACAGCTGATTCCCTCAGAATAGTACGCCGAGGAGGTCAACAAAACAAAATATTATCATGACAGCAATCAGACGAGGGTACACTGTGCGACGATGTTCCCTCTGAATTCGGGAGTTGATCGCGTCTCTGGCTCCCGAGTTGCGCAGGAAACACAGCATCTCGTGGGAGAGGCCAATACAGATCGTCTACTGTACCGTAGGCACTGAATTGTTCACATAGATAATGTAGGTCGAGGGCTGAGCAAGATACAACCCTGCCCTACCAAGACTGTAGACTCGGAGTCTCTATAGACTACTGTACTAAATACGTATGTTGCGGGTTGCTCTTGGTGCAAGTACAGAATGTACAGAAGTCTAAGTGAAGCTAGCACGACTGAAGGTATATTTTTGTGCCCTACCTATTCATGATGAAACATGCGGTCTAGTTGGTAGCCTCGTAACCTTCAAGAGGTCAGGTCAGGGGTTCGAATCCCGGCGTAGGCGAGCTTTTCTTGCGAAGTGAGTTTTTCTCTCGCTTCTGCTCCTGGCCAAGTGGATAGCGCTACAGTAGTTCGTGTGTACACAGAGGGAAGAGAGTGCTGAACTCTTCTAGCATTAAAAATTGAAGGCGAAGTACCGCAGGAGGGGAGGGTAGAGAGAGGCTCTTCTGTGTGACCACGGGTTGGAATAAACGGCACTAGTGCTGTGAGCGCTGATTTGAAGTGAAGAACAAAAAAAAAAACAAAATGCGCTCCTCCGATACTCTCCAAGAGTTCCTCTTTGTATGTGGTGAGTCTTGGGCGATGCCGGTGCTAACAGGGCCATCGTGTCAGCAACCTACACAGTTTTTACGCTGGAAGACGTTTGCTTCAGCTACATTAGAGCGGTCTGTGATGCAAATCAAACATGCAAACGGTGTTGCTCTGCTGCTCAACGGCATGCGGCGGTTCAACCCGAGAGGATTCGCCCGAAACGGCACCGCAAACCACTTCTTTGATTTTTTTTTTCAGTATGACACAACGAATCGGCCATCTCTATCATAGAAAAGACAGCTACCAAACTGTCTTGTTGAGCCTGTTACCCGCAGGGGAGATGTCCCTATATGCTGTCTGGGAAATCGTAGACATACAGGTACTTTCTGACGCTATGAATCCTCTGTCTCAGACTCTTTTCTATGATAGAGATGGTTTCGTTGTGTCATACTATATTAAGAAAAATATAAAAAAAAGAGTCTGAGACAGATTATTTGACCTTTGACCGAATCACACTGTTTTATGAGAAACGAACCAACAGGATCACCGTGTCGCCCACCACCAAGCTTGACTCGGTAGAGCTGACGGCTGTGGGGCTGTGGGGCGTGCAAAGAGGACAGTGGAACGCCCAGCTCCCGTCAAGCTCTGCGAACTTTCGTCTATTGTATGCATTTTCATCTGAACCACCTCCTCTCTCTGGCGACCACACGGGAGGGTTGCGTTGCAACAACAGCGCAGTGCCACCTGATGAGGCATATGTCCCGTTCCTCAGGGACATGTCCCACCTGGCAGCTGATGCTACTGCCATATGAGCTGCATGACTCCCGGAGCGCCGCTGGTTAAACTTTTCATACAGACAGACTACTGCCCGTATCTGCCTTTGAGATGGCTTTGACATGGCCTGTATGAATGTCGACAACCTAAGTGAAGTCACCCTTTTGTATAGGTGCCATCGGCGCTATAGACAGGCAAACACACAAACGAATGCAATCAATCGCCACGTTGAGAAGGAAGGCCGGCTACAAAATGTTGAATTTCGGTCAATCGTTTTTTAGTAGGTTGAATTCAGGTCGGCATCCACCGTCGTTGGCGTTGGATTTTGCTGCCCTTCCCAGGTGTGTCGTCGGACAAGATGCAAGAGAGCTCTATAGTCTACCTCTTGGTCTTCTTGATTTGTTGTAATATTCTTGGTACAAAAGGTGAAAAAGAGTTCATCGCAGGGTTACAGCTACAATGTGACCGTTAGTGAGTTGTAGCGGTTCTTGGCCATGCCGGGAAAGTCAATCCATGCTTACAGATGTAAGTCAATTCACCCCATATTCTGCCATGTGCACTTCCACTCAATCTCATGTCGTTACCACCTTGTGGTTTCTATTCCCCCTCTATACTGGCACTTCTGCAGAAATACTGTCCATCTACGTAGAACCTTGTCCTTCCTTCTCATCCCGAGCCCGCGAGACGTATACAGGAGAATCCGAGCATCCAACATTCAAGTAATGGTATCGTTCAAAGTGTAGACTATAGACTACACCATTCATCCCTCCAGCCGCGTTAGCCCTTATAGATCTCGAAGGACGTACGCATAGGCCAATGCATACGCCGACCGAGCTTTGTGGCGTGCGTCCAGAAACACGACTGGCTACCACTGTCGTGTAGACGCCACGTTTTGTGTAACGCCCCCCCAGGTCGGCGGAGTGTCTGCCGAACAAGAGATGGTCCAAGGCAGCATCGAGGGATGGCGCATATGCTTTCAACCATATGCCAGAGAAGACGGAGGTAATCACAACACCATTGTCTTCGAGCCCACTGCAGCGATGCTGCCAGATCCACTGTGTATTGCACCCAAAACACGCCAGTTGTATGCCGGAAGCACGCGCATCGCCTCGTTACGGCCGATTTTTTCGAGATGATGGTGACTATGTAGCTGACCGGGGATATTCACGGCCCAGCTAGGGCAAAATCAGTAGTGTCGATATCGTCGTACGAACAGCTTATCGCTTCATAGACGTACAATCTGCCCCGCTCGATCCTTGTGGAGTTGTCGATTCCCCAACTATCGCTTGCTTCTTGCCCGACGTCTCTCATGAACGAACGGCTCTAGATTGTACCCATCGAGCACCCCCACGCACTCTCTCGGAAGGAGGTACGTCTCATGAGTTCCTGTGGAGAGTCGCGTGGGCCCTCCTCACCACGTATCCTGCTTGAAAAAATCTTCTCCGTGCACACGACTCCGTGTGCTCGATAGTACTCTGCTCTGCCATCTACAGTACTGAGAGCCTCTTACCGGCCACGTCACTTTCCGAGAGAAAAGTGGTTGCGGCTGCTTACCTTGATGAAGCAACCACGTGAGCATCCGGTTAGTTGATGGTTTGGTACACCGACATGGTGTACACGCCACCGCACACCTCGTCGGAGTCACCCGTGCAGGGCATGTCGCAGACGCCAAAACCGATGTCGTCGTAGGTGGCGAAACGGCCGCACCAGCACTGTTCCACGCAGCAGCATCAGTATGTACGTCAACAGGCGGAAGGCACAGATCTCATCATGGCGAAGATGGCAAGCATGGTGTACGAAGTACAACGAAACCCAGGTGATGTTTGGTGAGCTCAGCAGTGGCGCGGGTGTCAGGACGTAATCAATGGCCACAGAGGTGACAGAATCATCCCAGGTGATGGCCACATATATCTTCGATTTCGATCCACAGAGGTGGAGCTTTTCCGCTGGCCGGGTCAGGAGAAGGCAACGATGAAATCGAGTCGCAACCCGTGGTTGTGTTTCGATAGTGCGATTCATCACCCTTCGGGTGTCCAAAGCACACGTATGTTGTCCATACCGACTATGCCACTTCCAAGTCTCTTGCACACATATTCACCGGCGTCGAGAGGATCAGACGACCGCAAAACAACTAGGCCGCATTCGGTTGCTTGGCGAAGCCAATGTACTACGGGTGAATCCATCACATGTATCGATCACAAAGGAACAGATAAATCCCTGAGTCGGCACATGTCTTGAGATTTATCGAGGATACCGGACAAGAAGCAAGTGCTATAGGCAATGCCGAGTCAATTAACCCTAGCGGCCGACTTCACATCGAGGCCTTCCGATTTCCACGCTCCTTGCACGACACTGCCCCACCGAAGTACGACTGACACTCTCTGAAGACGTGTACAAGAAGTCACACCTCTTCAGAATGCTGGGTTCCATAGTAGGCCGCAAACTCGTCGCAGGCGCCCTTGCAGGTCTGGTCGTGTGTGCGCGAGCAATGATTGGCCCGTTGTCCGGGTGTGGAGGGGGAGACGTTTTGAGGACCAAATCGAAAGGGAGATGCATGTACGGAGGAGCGGGGGGTGTTGGTAGCGAGTTCGGTATCAAACGAGATGGCGAACATGGTCGACGCTTCCTGTGAAGAACCGCACGATATCGATATTGGGGGAAACAAGAACAACCAGAGCAAAACCGCCGACAGCACGACACGATATGGGCGTACAAAAAGGAAACCGAACTGTTCCATGTTCCATGTAGACTAAATGTGAATGCGTTCGCGAAAAACGAACTTTACAAATAACCAGCCGAACGAGGTTTGGTCGAAGAACTGCTGCTCACCTCCTGGTTATTCGACGTTGAACGAACATGAACCCACTCGAAAAATCGGTCGGCGGAGTCTTGGAAGCACCCAAGGTACGCGGGGTCATGCGCGTAGACGTCCATGCTGTAGGACCCCCCGCAGGTTTCGCCGGAGTTGCCCGAGCAGGGCATGTCGCAGACTCCTTCACCGTTGACGGAGTATTGGGCGTTGATGTCACCGCACCAGCACTGTTTTCGAAGATATGGTACAAAATACAGTAAGAGTCAGGAGTGCGGTGCAATCAGAGGACGCGGGGGTTCATCGTGTCGAGAGGAACATCAAGGTGATTCGCACAACGTGTACATAGTTCTTGGTGAAGCGAGGCAGATGGTGGTGGTGGTGTCAGCTCGTATCACCCAACACGAGAGAGTCGGCGATTGGCTCGACAACAAGAAACATTCTTCGATCCAGATACCGCCATGCCACTGAGAGGACATCCTTGGGGGTGCGTGCAGCCTCCTTGTGCTGACGAGCACCTGCAGCAGGCGTGCTACCGAGGGTATGAAAGGACGCCATGCCTGTATGCAACCGTCAGCATACCGCGAGGGCCGCCCGGCCCCCAAGCGTGTTCCTTCTAACCCAACTACGAAGTACGATAGAAGCAAGGACGGGGGCGAACGGGCAAGGGGGCACACTGATTTATCCCCGTTTCGGTGCTATTACGTTCGGCGTTGTTTTGATGGTGTTGCCTCTCGTTGCGTTTCACACGTTGCTTGAATAGTGAGGGTCCTGCGGCACAAGACGGGTTCATTGCTGCGCACCCCGGAACGTTTTTGTGACAGCGAAACTCGCACTCTGTCACGGCGGTAAGGCCGTGGTGGCGCTCCCTTTCAGCCTTCGGTGCCGCAACAACAACGGTATCAGCAACGACAGCGCACAAAAGCGAACCGTGTTGTTGGGAATGCTTACCTTTATCGAAGCCAGAATCAACCCATTAGACTAGTCAGCGCTGACTACCGTAGTCCTCCTGCGGTTTGATTTCGGCTTCTAATCAACTTAGCCGTGGGTTCTGACGACGCAAGTCTATCGATATGACTTGGCTTCTTGCCCTCGCCGCGTTTCTTTGAAGCCCATGGGCAGGCCAGCACGTATCAACTTGGGGAAAAACTGAACACCCCGGCACGAACCGGGTGTTCTAAAACGTTTCAGTCTTGACCTGCAGTTTTTCGAGGTGGCCTTCTCACAGTGTATTAAATAAGGTGCGTAGGCTATGTCTTCGCCCACGCAATCCGTGGCACTGCGTTGGACAAGAATAACAGCACAATCAACACAGCAGAAGCAACCGAGGAACAATAACGGCGTAGCTCCGGTTGTTTGGGCTCCGATTTGGCATCTGGCGACCTCAGCAACCCCGACAATCCAAGAATCTGGCGCTTGCGAACGTCGGTGGCCCGCGCCCCAACAAGGTTTGAAGACCCATTCGGTGACACTGGTTGTATCAAAGCCTGGCAAATGGTGACGGAAAACACCGTCATGATAAACTTTCGACCAACCCCAGACAGACCCGAACTCATCCGAATCGTATGGTTCCGAGACTAGAAGGAACTGCCACAACGGCCTCACCTCTGTAGAGTACTGCGTTCCGTAAAAGGCCGAGCCGGTGCATTGCGACGCGCAGAGCTGTGATCATTTGGGAATTGTGTGTGTCCACAGTGGTCGATCATTGGGACGAAGGGGGGGGGAGTTGTAAGGGGTACGTCCACTGCGTGCAATGCATGTAGAAGCAATGGGTGGGTGCATCGACCGCAGCTTGGCTTTCGTGTCGACTTCGAGAGAGTGTCTGACAATTCACGAGCGGCGATGCCATCACGCCATCCACATCGGGAGGTAGATAGCGTTCAGCACACCGGCAACACCAAAGCCAAGAACATGCAGGCCATCCAACAACGTGATGGCGATGCTCAGGAAGAATATACACGTACCCGCCGAGTAAGCTACCATGTTTCAAAACTCGTTCGCACCTCCGAGGTCATGGCGTCAGAAGAATCGCTCTGCACGAAAACGCGGTTGTCGGGTGGGTCCGAGTAGCAGCCACGGTAGGATCTCACATAATCTGCGTCGGGGTTCTCGTAGACGTTCATGCTGTAGGAGCCGCCACAAAACTCGGCGGAGTCACCCGGGCAGGGCATGTCGCAGACCCCGTCACCGTGGGCATCGTAGTCGGAGTTGTTGCCGCACCAGCACTGTTGTTGCGTTCGGTAGTATCGAGAAGTGGGGCAGAGGGTGCAGTCATCGAGAGGGTAGGGGTTAGATCATCGTGACGTCAGTCGCATGCAGGAAGTTAGACTCTGAACCCCGTAAGGTACGGAAGGTTGTCGATGTCATGGTGGTACGCGGTGTATGAGAACGGGCGTCGCAATAGCTGCCGACTTGTACAACAAAAACAATTTAATGAGTCAGACGACCATCTCCAGAGACAAACGAAGGTTCGTCCGACAGCACGTGCGATATTGCCATGGGATGGCTGGTGCGTACTCAATGTCCCACACTACTTGCAGTTTCGCTAAACCGCCCATGGGACACCCATGGGGCACCCGTGGGCACTTCACGCCCATGGTGGACCTCCCATAAACTGCCCACGAAGTGCCCACCGTGGGCACTACTGCCTTCAACTTCGCCACCGGCATGTCAACCTACACGTTAGCCACGTATGGTGTGGGCGTGAGGTCAAGGTTTAGCGGGGTTATTTTGGCTGTAATGTTCCTCCCAGTGCAGATAATCTGTTGTTTAAGGAGTACAATGGTTCTGGTTGAAGGGCACTCATTCACGCTCCCACGGGCTGCCCATGGGTGTCCCATCGGCGGTTTAGCAAAATACTAGAAAGTGTGGGAGATCCTACGTGCTAGCTGGCAAGCACGAGGTTCCTACTTACCGAAGGCAAAAGAGCTAGTGAGAGAGGCTGACTATTCAATTGTTGGTGGATGAGAAACAGCGCACGTTTCCACTTCACAAGTGTGGTCAAAGGAGGCCCGCATCCTCTGGTCTTCTCCGAACCACGCGACTACATACCATGTCATACGGGACATTCTAGTATCAAATACGAGATAAATGGCAGACCCCTTGCGCAAAAGCCACGATGTCCATGAGTGATGCATGGATTTCGAGCCGATGCTCAGAGCAGCCAACGACAATGTACGAGACCGGCATGATCCGAGGCACGTCGGTGACTTGAAAAGGTCACCGAAACGAGGCCATGAGCGTGATCGTTGAGCGCCCATTTCAACTCCGGTGCTGATGCAGTTCCGACATCTCGTCAGCGCGACATTGACACCCCACGATCCTTACCACCGGTTCCTCGCGCGTGTACATATGCGTATGCTAGAAGTCTCACCTCTGTCCCATACTGAGTTCCGTAGAATTCGTAACTGGTGCAATGATCCAAGCAGACCTGTGGCCGGTCGATCATATTGGAGGGAAGCCAACGGCAAATCGAAGGAAGAGAGACACGTGAACATGGAATACTGTGCGAAATTGTTGAGTGGCGGTGGCGTGTCGACAGTTTTGAACGCTGGTGACAACCCCCGTGCAGGGACATTCGACAATCAAGATGACCTCATCGAAAACCCAACCCACCACTGGAGACTATAGGAGCCGGGGATAGTAGCGCTGGCAAGGGGAGTCGCCCTCCCCGGAAGCGAAAGTGCGGGGGCTCACGAACCCACGGCTAACGTTTACAGAAGCCGAAATCAAACCATTAGACTAGTCAGCACTGACTATTTAGTGTAATGGTTAACTTTCGATTTCTGTAAGACGTATCAATCTCGCCTTATTTGCTCACCGCCGCGGTCATGTCCTCCGAGGAATCCACCAGCAACTCGAAGAGGCGGTTGTCGGCCGGAGGGTCGGAGTAGCACCCAAGGTAGATGGGCTCCTCTACGTCGAGGCTCGCGTAGACATTCATGCTGTACGAGCCACCACAGACCTCGCTGGAGTCGCCCGAGCAGGACATATCGCAGACGCCGGCACCGTTGGCGTCGTATTCCGCGTTGTCACCGCACCAGCACTGTTTTGGAGCGAACGGCGAAATTTCGGGGGCAAAAGGATGAATTTAGAGGTTAGCAAGGGCTTGTGTGTCGTGGTTGCGAGAGCGGTGTGCGGCGCGTTGTGTACGATGAAGAATAGTATGAGAACGGTTGGCGTTGCGGTGGTGGCGCCGCCTGGCATCAGTCGAGAAAAGGAAGATTATATCTGCATTCACGAAGGATGCTCTTCGAACATGTGGCAACCGTTCCAACCATCGTTTGTTTCGTCTATGCAGTCTGTTTTCGTCGGTCTTAGTAGAACAAGGCTGACCTCCAATGTTGCATTCGCCGCAAAGGAGGTTGCTACAGTGAGTGTGTATGTCAGACGAACGAACAACAGTCAGTCAAGAACGTTGAAGATTGTATTGCGGGGATCTGTACCAAACTCGATGGGCTGGACAATGTCAGGAAGCCAAAGTAGAACGATCGAAATGGTGAAATCACCATATTGTTGTCCGTAGACACAGACAATTCATGACTACCAAGGTATGACCCATCCCAATACCGGCACCGTCCAATCGTTGCAAAATATCTATGTTTCGTGCGCCACCTCAACATTTGATCGGTGTATGACCCCGTTGCTTACACATCCAAGAATTTTTACCTCAGTTGAGTACTGGGTGCCATAGAAGGCCGAGCCGGAGCAGAGATTGGAGCAGATCTGTGGTGCAAGGACCGGAGACACATGCAAGCAAAGATCCGCATTGGGCGGCGGGGGGAGCAGCGGCGGGAATGTACGTAGACAGTGTTCGAAAATGGAAGCGCTGGGGGTGGTGGGGCACAACGCGAGCTTCAAAGCGTGGAAGACAAACCGCTCCTGTGCAATTACCACGCGAGGTCAGCCACCAAAACAACTGCCACAAGCATCAGGCAATGCGAGGAACAGTCTACATGCCATTTATGGCACAAACCTGCGCGTTGACATCGGTATTTTTTTGTTTGTAAATTTCAAATCAGCGCTCACGGCACTAGTGCCGTTTACTCGAACCCGTGGTCACACGGAAGGACCCCTCTCTATCATCCCCTCCTGCGGTACGTTGCCTTCGATTTTTAATGCGAGAAGAGTCCAGCACTTTCTTGCCTCTATGTACACACGAACTAGCGTTATCCACTGGGCCAGGAGCGGAAGCGGGAGAAAAACTCACTTTTTGCAAGAGAAGCTCGCTTACGCCGGGATTCGAACCCCTGACCTGATCTCCAGAAGGTTTCGAGGATACCAACTAGACCACAGGGGCGACCGGCAGTCTATGCAATATGCACATACACAAAACATCAACATCCACACGCGCTTCCGGCCATCGACTGGTCACCCACCTCCGTGGACATAGCGGAATCGGACGACTCGAACTCGAAGACACGGTTGTCAGCAGGGTCCGAGAAGCAACCTAGGTGGGATGGGTCATCGGACTGACCTGCTCCGGCCACATCAGACGACAAGAATAATGTCACGAACTGAGAGAGTGGCGGTCTACATGTAGTAGCGCCCTAAGTACGAAAGTCGCGAGAGGTATACTCGTGCTTCACATATGTACGTGGACGCATGCAAAACAAGGGAGATAATCAATTCTAGTCGATGTACATGGGGAGTGATCCCCCAGTGATGCCTAGTCCCACGCAATACCAATGCCACGAAGTGAGGGAGTGGCGGTCTAGAAGCGTCCTACAACTACCAAGGTAACAGAAGGTATATGAGTGCTTTATGTATGTACGAACAATGGATATAATCAACGCTTGTCTACATGGCAAGTGATCCCCCCGTGATGCCTACATAGCCCCTAACGAACTGAAACAAATCGGACAAGTACCCCGGCGACGGGATATTTCCTACTTTTCAGGTGGTTGAGGGGCCACAGCGATCACCGCTCTGAAGTGAAATTGGCTAATCTATTCGGACAGACTCTAGCTGCCCGGGTAGAGCACGATCCAGCTCTCTCAGTGTCACCGGGAGGTATTGAAGCCGCTCCCGCGAGTGACCAGAAACCTGCTTCTGGTGCTACATTTACGTTGCTATACTACCCGAGAGTGTTGTTGAGCAATACGTGCTACTCGCAAGTCTAGAGGCACTATTTATTCAGAGTTTCACAGAACGGTTGTGTACTCCAGTATCTATGTACTACATGTCTCTCTCACCAAAGGCGAGCCCGAGAAGGAGCATCGGTAGCCCCAGCGAAAGAAGGTGCATCTTGACCTTGAGATTTCTGGAATGCCTTAATCCTGGAAAAAGGTAACCACGATCATTTTCATACGTGCGACGTACAGCAGACTTTCCATAATGCGCCTTTAGTTGTGAAGGTGGTCGCAGTATTACCATACATACATATTTTAAGCGAAGTACTCGTGTGCCCGAAATGATCCCTCTACTGTCGTGTCTTCCGGGTACCATGAGCATGGTCGTTGGTCGCTCTCTACACGGCGTACCGTGCGAGGTATAGGTTCCTACGAGGCAGGGAACAGGGAATACGCCAGGCAGAACGGGGAGGGCTAAAGGGCTCGCGGCAACACTGCAGCAGAGCATTTATCAGACGGCCGCCATGAGTGTTCCCCTGTCCCCCTTCATGGCGCTGGGTTGGGAATATAATTCGAGAATTTCAGTAAGTCGACGCTGCGCGCACAGATTTGTGGGTTGCGTGGCTTTCCGGCGTGGGCGAGGCGATCGTAGGTGGTTGCCACCGCCTTACACACGAAACGCACCGCTACATCAGTCCATGCATAACTCTGAAAATTGCGTGTCCGGACAGCAGCCCAAGTCGCGGTGTACATATCGTTGAAAGGTTTCCTCTTGTGATAGATCCAATCAGACCCGGTGGCCCTATTCAATCAAACCCGGTGGCCCTATTCTGTGCCACACGGAGTGAAATTAAGAGATCGGCAAGACAGCTACCGTAAATAGAAGATCCTACACTACTGTATGTACATGTTCACGACGTAGGCACGACATCAACACTCACACTGTAGGAGTGCGTTCTTCGGGGTTCCAAGGTATCTTGTGCTGCTAAAGAGTGCAGACAGGGCGAGAAGAAGGAGAGTGTGAGCTGGTGGGCACGAGTGGGCTGAGGTGTGTCTCGCACAGTCCATGTTCGATCCAAGTCGATCGCGCACAAATGATATTTTTTCCCGAATTTTATTGTGGAAGTCAAGGTCAATACGATAGCGACGGAGCGACGTGTGAGCGTGCGTTCGAAAGAGACGGCGGGTCGAGCAATTATTTACACGAAACGTCCTCACATCGTTACGGCACTTCCAGCCGTGTTTGATTGGTTTTCTTGTGGACAATGGGACATGAATGGTCGGTAGATGGGTAGATTATTGGCTTTATCCTTCGTGCAGTTGTGACCGGGCGATTCCGACAGCAGTCCCGAGACGGCCACCGAGGATGATTGGGGCCTGGGGCCCTGTGCCAATGACAGCAGTTGGAATTAATGGGGATCACTCAGGTATGGGTCATGCTCGCGTAGAACGCGTTGCTCCAGATCTTGATTTGTATCAGAGGCGTCGACGTGAGCTCTACATATCACGCAACACGCATCTACGGTGTACTAACTTGTAAAGCAGTTTCAGTACTACAGCAGGAATTTTCCGCATGTTCGCACACAGCGGAACGTTATTCGGGGTAATTTTTCTGGGAGAGCTGTGTTTGACAGCTGATTGCCGATGTTCCGCTGCTCTGTTCGTTCGTGGTGTGCTTCCACTGCTGTTCTCTCTGTCACCGGTAACTCTGTGTGTGTGGCTCCCCTGAGTTATTCTCTGGTCCTTTTTTACCACGTATATGCTACCGAATATATTGTATGTAGAATGTGCTCACAGCAGCAGTGTGTTGTGTGGCATTCCGTCGGCAAGTCAAAAGCTGGTGATCAAGAGTATCGAGACGGGGTCAACAGCCTCTCGACGGCAACAGCTTGGATCGGGATGCGGTTTCTTGCGTTGTATGCGCAAAACCCAAAGAAAGCGGTCACACGGCTTATTCTTCCAAGTCCAAGGGAGACACCACGAGCAATGGGGGCGAAAACCCTCGAAAAACCGCTACATAATACGTATAGATAATAGGCTGTATGTAGTATAATAGGGTATACTGAACGGCGCCCGCCGCGCCAAGCGAGGAGAGTAATCGACGACGGTGAAAAGGGAGATTAAAATGAAGAGGGCCAAGAAGTTGGAAAGCTGATATGAGAAGTTGTTCCCGAGAGTGGGTGAGAGAGAGTGGAAAGGCGTGGCACAGCGTATTGTGCGGTACCTACATGCATGCCTACCTGTTCGTGTTCTGTGTTTTGGGTAACCTTGGGTAACCTACACTATTTGACAAATAAATGGACTTAAGCTTCCATGGAAGTCAAAATCTACTTCCATGGAAGTGGTTCACTGCTTCCATGGAAGTCAAGATGACTTCCATGGAAATCACCGCGGCTTCCACGGAAGGAAGTAAAATTGAATTCCATGGTGACTTCCATGGAAGTCATCAATTTGACTTCCATGGAAGCTGGTTGGCTTTCATGGAAGTCAATTTTACTTCCATGAAACCTGCTGGTCTGGATCGGGTAGCCAGCTTCCATGACGCTTCCATGGAAGCGTTGAAGTGAATATGCTTCCTGGAAGAAGCCGCTATTTGCTTCCATGGAAGCAGGATTTCGGACTTCCATGGAAGCTCGTCGCTCGACAGAGTGGCTACAACTTCCATGGAAGTTGAACTTCCATTGAAGCACGACAACTTCCATGCAAGCAACTTCCATGGAAGTAGGTGGCAGCGGTCGATATCAACTTCCATGGAAGCACCGAAACGTCCATGAAAGCAACTTTCATGGAAGGGTCTGGACATACATGCGTTCACCCCAGCTTCCGTGGAAGCATTCCAGCCTCCATGGAAGCTGTCGACGAAGACTTCCATGGAAGCTGCGGGAATAAGCTTCCATGGAAGGAAGTGGTCCACAACACCAAAGCTTCCATGGAAGTACACGCTAGGGACTTCCATGAAATCTATAACATCCAGCTTCCATGGAAGTATGTATATCCTGCCCTCCGAGCTTCTTCTATGGAAGTCGCTCTCAATCCTCCCGAAGGATTTCCTCCATGGAAGCTTGTTCGTGCCGTTTCCACGGAACATACTATACATGTCGTCGTCGAGGCCAACCTTCCATGGGAGTTTTCCAGCTTCCTCCATCCATGGAAGCGTTCTGTGTCACGGATATCTACGTGTCCCATGGTTTGTTGTGTGTGTACAGTATGTAGCGAAGATCTAGCGTACGTACGTCACGTCGAATGCACGTACGTACGTCGGGCCCGCTGCAAACAAGCCTCTCCATTAGAGAAGCGAGCCTACGAGTTCTTCTCTCTCTCTCGCTCTCTCTCTACATTGACGTTTCGACGTTTCGGGCAAATCCAACCGTGAAACGTTCAACGCCCAAAGCCCCTCTAGTAGTATGTCCCGCCCGTGGGGCCTAATTTGGCCTAATTTGGCCTAATTTTTTTTTTGCGCACCCCTAACCCCTACCCCCCCCCGAACGCCGCTCGAGGAACGCCACCATATCACCTTCCGCAATTCTCGCGCGCGTGAGCGCGTAAGCTTGGATGAGAGCTTCGCTGCACAACGAGAGAGACCGAGAGAAAGAGAGCGAGCGGGTGAGGTGGCTTTGCGCCTCGACCACATTCCTCTTGGACTGCCTTGCCCGCCAGTCGCAATCAACGAATAGATACTCAAGCCACGTGTAAGACTTTCTACGCAGATCGTGTACGTGTTGCAGAGGTATAGACCTTTTTGCATGTAACCAGAGGTCGCCAGGCAGGATACAGCAGAGACGGGGCTGGCTTGCTTGGATTGAGCTTACAACCGGCTTCGAGAGCGTCAACTGTCGACAGCAGCGGCCGACGATGGTTGCCCAAGCGTCGTGCCCCGGCAGAGCAGGGCCAACGCCCGCAACGAGCAACAGCTTCAGGCGGAGGAGACGCGTGCAGTCATCATCATCGCAGCGACCTTGGAGCTCGCTGGCTTTCATGGGACTGCTGCCCTACCTAGCGTGGCTTGGGAGCAGCGGGGGGGGGGGCGTGGCGAGGGCTTCGTGGATAGACCCCGACACCCTTCCAGAGCACCGCACGAAAGACTTCGAAGGAGACGATAGGCAATTCGACCTGGTGTTTAGCGATGAGTTCGACAGGTAATGTGTTGTACGATCCGCGTGCGGAGGTGTTCTTGTTGATAGAATATGAGCTCCAATGTTTCGTGAACATGTGTTGGAACGCAACAACGCAACAAGCATAGGCGCAACACGCATAGGATGTCCGTTGGGTGGATGGAAGAGTTTGTGACTGCCTGGTGGAAAGTGCGATGCGTGCACGTAGGCAGAGGAGCGGTGTGGTAGGGTATGTGGGCAAAAGATGCACGCGCTGCCGGGTGGCTTGAAACACAACCCTGTTGATACAAGTACAGAGAGAGATGCCCTCATGCACGGCAAGTCTTTTCGAGCAACCAACCACCACCACTAGGTTGCCACAACTGGCCCTTGAACCTCTCACGTACATGTGCATCGCGAGCCTTAGTCCGACAGACGACTTTGCCGCCCCCTGTTGCTGTGGTGCGCCTATAGCCACAGCAGGACCAGCAGCGGGCTCCGGCACACCACACACACGCAGTTTGTCGCCGCTGCTGTAGCCGAGATATGTTGCACCGCATCGAAGAGCGGCGCGTCGACGCGCACCTGCTGTGCTGGCTATTTATCGTTTTGGGTCCACAGTACATTCTGTGCACATGTTTTCGAGGGCACGGATGCATATGCATCCACCGGTAGTAATGGAGGTTTGGTAGGCGCTACGTGCTCGCAACTGGGACGAGATGACCCTCTAACCCTCTGCTCTTGAGAAGAGCAGGAGACTGGAAATTGGTATGCATACAACAGCTGTCACGCACTGCGACCGGTGGGGAAGGTCTTGGGACCACCAAGTCTTTCCCGCGGAGAGGAAGCTCAGCCCCCTCTCCTTGCGCAGTCACCTGGACTCTTTCCTCCTCCGCTGAAGCCCGCAGTGTCTGTGCGCGTTTGTGCCTACAGGCAGGCATTCCTGCCTTGTACCTTGTACCTTCATCAGAGTCGGAGTGTACGTGTGTACACCCACCGTACATGACGGAATGTGACGTGTCTGGACTATCGCAGCACAAACTCCGTTGATCGACTGCATGTTTTAGTCTTTGCCGAAAGCTATGCATGTATTGAATAGGAAGGCGGTGAGTGGGGGGATTTCGGAGATCGGTCCAGTCTAGTGAAGACCGTAGACGACACAAGATAACACACCCCGGTGATAACATTTTGGGCTTTTAACCCTTTCGAGTCTTCAGGCGTTCTCACTGATCATTGATTGATCATTTGCAAATGCTGGTGTAGTGGCAAGTCGTGGAGTTGCCGCCCTGCAGTATTGGCAAGTCCATAGGTAGGTGTGTCTAGATTATTAGCGCCCGCGCTAACCGGCTGACCAATGAAGAGACTTCAGTGACAGCGGGTAATGTCAAGGTCTCGGGAATGGGAATGGGGCCAATCAATGCCAAATCATGAATCTCTCAACGTATGCACATGTCAATGAACGCGTGTGTGCATACACACATACATACATATATATGTGTTCTTTCGCAGCACCACACATACACTCACCCGAACGTAGGAAGCCACTGCTGCAAAGAGCAGAGGGCAGCAAAAGGGAGGGGTATTGCAATCCCTGCCGAAGCCCAGATATCGAGGATATCGTGGTTCCCAACAATTTGAAAATCGTTCCCAAGATCCAGCAGTCATTGTGTCAGCAGCTACAACGAACGCTGCAACAACACTACTACTACTGCTGTAGACGAGTAAAGCATATCAGCAACACATCCACACTCGTAGCGCCACACATACCACCCTCGCCCGAACCTAGGAAACCACGAGGTACAGGTGTGTGCTGGTGGATGTGCTTGTTTGAAAAACACAGGAGCTCTAGAGAGCTGGCAGGGCACATTTCGGGGGGGGACAGGGAACAGAGAAGTACAGAAGTACAAATACCAGCTATGGATCTTCACTGATCATTTTGCCTTCTCTGGACTGATCATTTACAATATACCGAAAATAGACTAGTTGAGGCAGCTAGACGACTGATCATTTCGAAGTCTACACAGCTAACCTGCCCTACTGACCGCAGCGCGACCACCTATCAACCCTTGTACGACCCTGTCTGTGGCCACCACCCTGTCGCCGGCTTCTCTCATGGCCTACAGGTGGAGATAGCTGTTGCGTGTGCAGAAGTACACTGGTGCATTTCTCTGCACTTCTCTCTCTCCCGCTCGCTCTCGCTCTCATTTTTTTTTTTTTGGCGCAAACAAAAAAATCTGACAGTCCAGCCTAGACCCAAAGGGGTTAAAATATTATCACCAGGTGTGGTATCCTGTGGGGGGGTGGTATCTTATGTATCCAGGGTGATAAAGTGCAGCTCGCACGGGCCCCTAAGGGGGGGGGGGGGGGGGGGTTCCCCTAATCCTTCCTTCCCTAATCCTTTAAACCTTTTTCCCCGGCCCCCAAAAGGGTTTTTTAACCCCCGGTTTTTTTTTTCCCCTCCCAAACCCCCCCAGGTTTTTTTGGGGGGTTAAAAAATAAGGTTTTTTTAAAAAGGTTTTTTAAAACCCCTCCCAAAACCCCCCAGGTTTTTTTTGGGGGGTAAAAATAAAGGGGTTTTAAAAAAATTTTGGTTTAAAAAACCTCTTTTTTAAATTTAAACCCTCCCCCCCCCCCCTTTAAAGGGTTTTGTTTTTCCCGGGGGTTTTAAAACCATTTCCTTTCAAAACCCTTTTTAATTTTTTTTTTTCCCAAATTTTTTAAAAAAAAAGAACTCCCCCCAAAAAAAAAAAC